GCTTACTTCGGGCACTGGGTTGCACCTGGTCTGCCAGGCGATGCTGGCCTCCAGCTCTATGCTATACCTGAACATGGGGGATTACAAGGGACGGACAGGGCTGTCACCACCTGCCGCCTACCCCTGAACCGGAGAGCATGAGACAAACGAAGATAGCCTCTAGCCTGGACACCACTTCTACGCTATCGACTACTACTCAAGCGTTAGCTAGAAACATCTGTCTTTATCATGGGTCCTCTACTAGAGCATCCACCATGGGGACGGACAATGAACCTGCAAACAAGTAAGAGTATAGCTTAACTACTCAAAGACTTTATACCAAAAGAATCATGAATACTCACTTAGTGGGAAATCCCATTGAGGCACATGTATTCATCAAGGCACAAGGCGGGGAGACACTGACAAGCCCGGCTCTTCCCCGTACTCTTCCCTCACAACATCCCTACTTCTCTTCTAGAGCTAGCTAGGGCCTAAGCCCATGGAGTGATGCTCTTGCTCTTGCTCTTTGATGCTCTTGTACTCTCTTGTGTGTTGTTGGAATGAGGGGGTAGAGGTCCTCCTTTTGTAGGTGGAGAGGAGGGGGTTCCTTGGAAGATTCCCTATTCCCATATGGAAGGAGCAAACCGCCCTTTAGGTACATTGAATCTGCACAACACACTGTCAACCGCCCTTGGAGAGGCAGTATGAACCGACCTGACGAGGTTGGGCCCGAGGTGAGCCACCAGGGGTGTGCCCCCACCCTACTTGGCCCGCCTTGAGTCCAGTTTCATCGGGAGATCTCCTTTGACCTTCTAGAGTGGGCCTACGTGGGTTTTGCATGAAGTTGAGATGGTTTGTGTTGGATTTTGGCCTGTCCTCCACTCTTCTGGGCCCTGATTTATCTGGTAATGGGCCTTCTCCCCCTTGGGCTCATGTCGGATGTTTGTGTTGTTGTATTTCTTGTGTACTTTTGGTACATTTCTGGTAATGGGCCTTCTCCCTGCTTGGAGGTAAAAGCAATCATGAGCATAACATCCTAAGATATATGGCTTACATAAAAGTTATTCCAACACATTCTTTACACAAGTGGGATTTGTGGCGTTAGCTAACATGTTTCCTTGGGTTGTTGAAAATTGGAACAGTTCTCGAAACAATGTCATCTTCCTAATTTCACGTCTTAGCAACTTGGAGTTTAGAAAGTTTTTCTCAAGAAAAATCATAGTTCACTTTATACTCCTCAAATGGCACTCTCAAATCACTCAATAGTGTATAAATCCTTACCTTTCACACCCGGTTTTAAGAACAAAACCAGGCTTGCCATATGTGTGCCCAGAAAGTCCACACATAAAACAACATAATAGAGTATATCAGAAACAATGTTATATAGCGGAAACATACTTATAATTAACACTTACATCAGAGTATAGTGGAACGGTTACTCATGTTTTCTTTAGGCTCCAACTTCACAGGGACGGCTGACTAGGGGCTACTTATGCCAAGCACTTCTGATAGTATCCTAAGAACTCCTTCGTTGTCTTCACCAATCTTCTGAGCAACTTTTACCAGAGTCTAGAGTGTGGGGAAATAGCAAGGGTGAGAACATGTCATATTCAGCAAATATAACACGGGGTTCATGAGGCACAAAAGGCCAACACAGATTTGCTGCGATTAGCTTTTAGTGAGTCATAATTTTAAGCAATTGAGTTGCAACAAGTTTAACATAAGCCCCAAATAACCACATGATCTGGTATACATGAATAATGAATAGCATTAACAAATCATTAGTGAGCATCTTCATCATCAGTATCATTAATGTTCATCATCTATTCTGTAAGGGTTCCAAGGCCACTCATGACCGTGAGCATGGCTGATATATCAATTTTACACTCTGCAGAGGTTGTACACTTTCACTATGAATCATGATTTACCCTTTCGCCCAAGGCGGCCAACCTCTTGACCCACTACCAAGGAAGGTCGACAGGGTTCACTATGAAGCCTCTCAAAGGTTTGTCTAATAAGTTAGGGCCGCTAAGGTTTCTCCATCAATAGGCATGAACCCCCTCCAAGGAGTGACTAATAATATACCAAGAAACCAAAGTGCACCCTCTTGGCAGGCCAAGATTATACCTATCGGAGCCCCTCTTGTAAGGCTTACTTATTGTGGGATTTCTATGATTTATGTGAAAGCAAGCATGTTAATAATTAATTAATGAGACATGAGGTATTGCATATGGAATGGTCTCATATTTAAAGCTTGCTATATAAATAAAAGGATGGATTTTGGACTTAATGGATGATCCAACACAAGGTGTGACTTGATAGATTAAGTTGGTGAAGATAGCAAGGAAAGGCTTCGAGGTACTAAGCAAGGGTGAAGGGCAAACGATGGCTTGGCGACCGAGGAATCTAGCTAGGGTAAAGAAGAAAGTACTTGCATTTAGTTGAGGTACCAATCAAACTTTGATAGTCACAATGAAGTGGAGGATCAAATATATATATTGGATAAAATGTTGGAAGTGACTTGATGCATTTGAACTCACTTCTCATTTATTGAATGAGATCAAGTCACATGCTTAAGAAGAAAATCAAAGTTGACATGTTGACACCCTCACTTGATGAATATTGAGAGCTACGACATTTGGTTTGAAGGAAATCAACTCAAGCGATTCAAACTCAGTTTTCATTTGATCTTGAGTAAATAGGTATGTCGTACTATTAAGAAGGATGCATCATATTGATAGATGATTATTCATAAGTGCTCAAGCCAACCCATGTGCGATTTGAGTGAGAACAAGACACTAGAGCTAACTCAGCCGTGCTATGTTCGGTATGGATATCGGACGTGTCCGATATGGGGTCGGTCATAGCAGCTTATCTGTGCTCTCGAGTTTAGTTCATTGAAAGTTCTGACAAGAGTCGGGAGTTTTGGGAGTCAGAAGTCCCGGTAATCCTCGGGAGTTCTGACGCCTCACGCGCCGCTAACTTTCTAACGGCTAGTTTTTGAGTGGGGTCTATAAATACCCCCAAGCCTCTACCTTTGGAGGCTACTGATTCTGCTGGCTCTCATACATATTTTTGAGCCTTGAGAATACTCTGTAGCCCTCTCTTAGTGAGTGATTGATCCAATTTGCCAAATCCACCTTATGGGTTGAGTGAGATTCAAAATTGAGAGCAAGCCATCCCTGAGCACTTGTGCATATTGTCAATCTCATGATTTGCATTGATTACTCTTGGACTCTTTGGTCCTAGATGGCTAGGCGTCGCCGGAGAGCACCCAAGAGATTGTGGTGTGCCTCGGGAAGTTTGTAACGGTGGATTCCACCGCCGCAAGGAAGGGATCAACTAGTGGAAGGAGGAAAAGAAGTTGAAAAAGACTCCGGCTAGAGTTGACCTTCGTGGGTCCTCTAGAGCTAACCTTTGTTGGGTCGCTCGTAGCTCCCTCACTGGAGACTAGGACTCGACGGAGTCTGAACTTCGGTAAAATAAATATCGTGTCTCAATTCGCTCTCATTTGATATTTGTGTTCCACTTGTGTTGCTTGAGTTTTCGTGCAGGTCCTCTGTGTATCATATTATCTTTAGTAGGTACCTGCAACTTGGATTGAAGTTTGAAATCGAAAGAAACAAATTTGGGGCTGGTCTACTGAAACTGCGAGTGTCCGGTATACATACCGGACGTGTCCGGTATTTTCCTCCAGCATTGATTCTATTTATTCTCTGATCTAATCTTTATTTTGCAGGCTTGTAGCTCCTAGTCTTATTTAGTATTTACTAAATACTCTGTGGTTTACTCGTGAGGGGTCTAATTATCTGATTCGGAGCTTTTAAGTAATTGAAAGCTCTCACACTAATCGTTTCCGTATTTTAAGGTGTTTAATTTTTAGAAACGCCTATTCACTCCGTCTAGACGACATCCTCGGCCCTTTCAACAGGGCTACCTGCAACGTCCGACGCTAGAGAGAGGGCACGACGACGCTCGACAGTCCGACGAATGGGGTAGGCGCAGTGGCGGTGTATTGTTGTTGCTGTCGAGCGCTTGAGAACGAAGCGAGAAGAGAAGATAAAGGCGACCAAAGAAAAAAAGAAAATTAACGGGATGACAAGTGGGCCCCACAGGTAACTGCTGCTAACGGCATCAAATCCACTATTCTTCCCATTCCTATTTATCCCTTCAACCAAACACAAAATAGGTTGACCCTGTCTCTTATCAACCAAATAGAAAATAAAGCCGTTTCGTCCCGGTCCCGTCCCCGAAATCAAAGACGAGACCGTCCTACTTTACTTTGACTCCCAACCGAACGCTATCTAAGTGCACTTCTAGAGCTTTAGTGAGAGACCAATGCTAATAAGAAATTATATATATAATTACATATATATCCCTTTAAAGATATAATCATTTCTCTTCGAAAAGAGAGAAAGTAGATAAAGATAACTAGAGTTACGTTGTCTCATACCTAGATGTGTATTTATTTTAGTTTAAATTTTTAAACTTCTATAAAAATGCACTTATTATGGGAGCGAGGGGTTAGTTGTTAACCCAGAGTTCCAAGTCCTTACCAAATTTTGTTTGGCCCAACTCGACCACAAACCACGCGGCGCTAGTTATATATATTTTTTCTCGGATCGGAAGAGTGCCGATGAGGCGATGACCAATATCTCCGACCGTGACGTACCTGTCTGCCCCATCATCGTCACACTCCTTGTGTCCACCACTCCAGGTTCCTTTCCCTTCTACATTGTGACTGCGAGGGGGTAAACATAACGAACACGTGCGCAAAAAATATTGACGAAAACCGGAGGGGTAAAACGGAAAAGGCGACGGCCGCCTGGAGGAGCGAGAGGGCGGAAGAGGGGGAGAGCGGCAGCCCGCAGGCCCGCAGCTCGTTGATGGTGGTTAGGGTTTCGCCGCCCGCGCCCTTGACCCGCTGAAGAATCGCCCGGCGGTTGAAGAGGCTCGCGCCTCGCCCTATAAGGCTCCGGGGGAAGAGGAGACAGGCAGCGGCGGACCGCGGCGCGCAGCTGATGGCGGAGCAGGAGCGGAGGGACGCGGAGGCGGGGGGCGATGCCGCGGCCGCAGCGGTGGCGTCGCACGCCAGCAGCATGCAGGTGAGGTCTCCCCTCCCTAATTCTCGGCTGCTCTGTACAATTCTGGGAGCTTCACGATGCGTAGATCCGCTCGCTGCTATTTGATTGGCTAAACCTGCGTCCTTCGCGTGTCTTGATTTTAGTTTGTTAGCGCGTAGTGGGTTTCTGGAAGGGAGCTGTCGGGAATTTTGCATGGGGGCGGTGGGGAATTTCTGGGGGCCAACCGTGCCTTAGATCCGAGTTAGCTGCTCTTGGAGCTGGTAATTTAGTGTTTCAAGAGGGCTTGGTTGTGCTTGTGCTTACTTCTTGGTGAACTGTAGTAATGAGCGAGCTATCATAAGATTTGTTTTTTTTAATTCATGAGGAATAAGGTGGGTAGGGCTTTTTGTTTTTTGTGCAATCCCCATGCTGCTGTACCAGCACCTGCATGTTTGGAACTAGTGAGGCCTGCTTTACTGCAGAATTAGCCTGTGTCACCTGGTTTCCGGCTCTCTGTCAGTGAACTTATTGGTGATAGTCCAGATGTGAGCAGTTTCGACATGTGTATTAGCCTTGTCTTTACTTTGTAGCATGATGAATTTGCCAATTTAAATGATGACGAATGTGCCTTGATCATGATGTAGTCACTACCCATATCATTACGTCAACGTGGGGCATGCTTGATTGACTCATATTTATACAAATGCCATGCCAGTATATATTAGCTGCTACCATTTGGGTTATTTCTGTGCCGGCACTAATATACTTCTATCTTGAAAACTGTAGAGCCTTCCCATCTGATCTAAAATTTTATATACAATCAAAAGTTCCAGCTTAGGTGTAAGTAATCTACATTGATAAGCTCAACATCTAGGAGCTGAAGTTGCTTTGATTTAAATTTATTGAATCATTTGATTATATGTACCGGTGTGATTTTGTTCCTCTGGAGACAAATATCCCAGCTTCATTGAACGTCCACTTCATGGAGAAAAAAATTGACTTTGTATTTGCAGCACTCCTGAAAAGACAGTATTACCATGCAATTTGGTAGTTTGACCTAAAAGAAAGATAATAAAAGGAACTCATGATGCTCCCAATCAGTGGTTGTTGTGTATGTCAGAAAGATCAAAACAGCTTGTGATACCTGCCAGCTGATCTATGATCATATTTGTATCTGTAGTTATACTATCCAATCCAAGTATTGGTCACTTCAGTATTAAACAAACACTGATAGCCATGATTTTGTTAGACATCATTCCCATGGACTAGATGATATCAGATGAATGTTTCACTAGCGCAGAATTTTTATTGTGGATAAGGATAAGAGGCCCCTGCAGCAGCATGTCATTAGGTTGAGGTGCAGCAGAGGTACCAATGATAGCAAGGTATGCCAGTAGCTGGGCATATTATGGGAGAGTCTAGAGGGCAGATCCAGTGCAGCAGAGATGGATAACAGGGTGACAGTCTAACCACGTAAAGAGTCCCAGTAGAAGTCTTAGCATTGATATGATTAGATCAAATTCTTGCTTTTAGGAATTTGCAAATTTTGATGAGTCCTGACTGTGCTAGTTATTTGTCCAAGTGAAGGTTTGATTTGTGTTGACTGATAGCCTTTTTAGGTTATCTCTATAGAGGAGGTCCACACGTATAATATAATGTCGAAGCATTCTTTTATTGTCTGTCTCCCAAGTCGTCTAGTTCTATCTACCAAGCTATATCTATCTGTCTCGTTACAAACCTTAACCCCATTGAACCATGTCTTTTGGCCCACTTCTCCATGTACTTGGTCCAATGCAAACCAAAGTTCTTATCAAGTCTGGTGCATTTTTAACACAATTCTACGGACCACATACGACTTGAAATATTCTAGGAAAACAGACACAAAATCTTTGGTATGGATATAGAAGTAGGCAGATGGGAAAAGTCTCTTCAGCTGGTTGGATGTCACTTATTGTGCAGCACGAATACAGATAAGTGCATCGGAAGGATACAGATATGACAATTTTCCCAAAAAAAACCCTGATATGTGGATACCTTTTACTATTTTTTAAATAAATAGATAATAATTGCATATTAAAATTGTGAAAGTAGTAAATACCTTGCAAATTGCAATAGCAATTACTGGCAAAAGCAGCATTGGAAGACCAGAACTTGCACACAAAAATCAAATATGAATGAATGTATTACTAACAATGTTATCAGATCGTATGATTGAGGCTAGTCGTAAGACCACCGATAAGACGACTAATCGCGATTAGTTGTCGATTACTCGGTCCTAGTCGGCTAGTTGGACATTTAGTCATCCATGTGCCTAAATCTGATCATAAATTGGCAAATGGAAGAGGCAAGCATAGGTCACTTAGCAGCTGAGATAGAGGGAACAATTATCCCAACAAGTCCTGTATGATATGGATTTTGAGTGGGGAATACAAGAGCTGATAACCTCCCACTAATTGAGTGATGGGCTTTGTTTTTCTTTCAGTCACATATAATATAAGTATAAAACTAGCAAACGTGCCCGTGAGTTGCAACGGAACCCCAATACGTATAGGAATTAGGCTCCGTATCATCGCTAGATGCGAGTTGTTCTAACTCGTATGAGCGTGGGTCATGAGTCTGGGTCACATACAAGATACGTAGGCCGTGGCTCAATACATATTGGAATCAGACCCCATATTTATCATCTCTAGAAATGAGTTGTTCTAACTTGTATGAGTATGGATCATGAGTTCGGGTCACATACAAGACACGGAGGGCGTGAGTGCAGTTTGAGAAGTAAAAAAAGCGGGACGGAAGAAACTCTCCACTGTCTGGGTAGTTAGTGGGAGGTGGACGAAAAAATGGGTGGAGAGAAATTTTGCCTCTTTACTATTAGCTATAGGTATATATAGAATATAGAATAAGTGAATAATGTACGAGTCAAGTCAGATTTATAATGGTAAGACATCACTGTGAGTATGAGGTGTTGTGACTGCTGTAGTTGAGTTATGAATTCCACCTTGACCGCTGAAAAGCTGCTGCCCTTTTTTGTTGGTCTATGGGAAAGATTTTGAATTTTCCCTTGATTCTGATAATAACAAGCGAGCAGGGTTCAGTCATCCATGTTTTTTCTCATCAACTTGATGAACTAATATTAAGATAGGACCTCCCTGTTAGAGATACCTAAACCACAGGTGTGGATCTATGGATATGGAATGATGTGCTAGTGTCTATACATGATAAGTGTCAACAAGTCCTCCAAGAATGTTGAGAATTCGTCCTGGTGTAGCTCTGTCTGATTGGTACATCAAAGAGGAGCTCCCATGTCAAGCACATTTTGGTTCCTGATGCCATGGTTATGCCAAATCGTCACAATTTGTGGGATAAACATACCTTAGAGATGGAATTGAACACCACATTTGAAGTAGAAAATGTGGTTTGTTACTTTTGTTACGTGGATGTAATAGGTCGTATACTGGCACCAGACTACTGTCATTATCCTTTCTGTTTCAAATGCATACTTTTTACCTTTCATCATCTCTTATTGAGCAGTGCAGATCATATTAGTTTCTGTATTTGACCAATACGCTCAGTCCTCTAATTTTAAGAAACTTATTTGTCTTATGTTTTGTATACTATTTATCTCTTTACTCCATATATACTATAAATGATGGTTACAATCCTAACTGTTCCAGCGTGTCAAAGTATACCGTTTAACTGATGCTGGGAAGTGGGATGATCAAGGAACAGGTCATGTTTCTATTGATTACGTTGAGGTATGAAAAATTTCTTTGCTAATATGTGTGGTATTTATTATTTCTTATTCATGGCTCTAGTTAATTCTCACACTTTCTCCTGATTTTCTTTGATAGTGCCCAAATATTTGTTTGCCCCTTACCCTTAATCTACTTTCAGTTTTGCTACCTTAGTACCTTGTTTTGACATGCTTCATTTGGCCGTCATGCTGTTTCTACAAATAATAATGACAGTCAACTTTTCTAAATTTTATTTTTTGTCAATGTCGAGGGAAGTAGGGAACTATAAGAAAACCTTGTCAAAGTAGACACCATTTTCATATTTCATACTGTGATGGTGATTCATGGAACAGTGTCCCGATGTAAAACTAAAGCAATAGTCCAATAAAAATGAAAATAAGCACAAATTACTTGATGGTGATTCGTATCAGTGTCCCGGTGTAAAAGTAAAGCAATATTCCAATACAAATGAAAACAAGCAGAAATTACTTGTAGTCTATGGCACCATGGTATTCTGTCATTGTATTATGATTTCTAATCTGTGGGCTTACTTTTTGGACGTTATATGATTTATTCTTGGGTTGGTTCCAGGGTTCAAAAGAACTCGGTTTGACTGTTTTAGATGAAGAGGACAATGAGACGCTACTTATGCACAACATCACATCTGACGATATTTACAGAAAACAAGAAGGTGAACTAACACAGTATCATTCTATTTTCGAGCTAATTTATATCTTTTCAAAACTTTCTAATCCATTTTCTTTGTTAGAAACAATAATTTCATGGAGAGATCGTGAAGCAGCGACAGACTTAGCGCTAAGCTTTCAGGAAGCTGCAGGATGCTCCTACATATGGTGATGGAAGCAAGAGCTGTGGCGCAGTTACCAAGTTTTTGTTTAATTACTCCCTTTGGTTTATTTTGTGTTCTTTGTTGGTTCTGTGCAGGGAACACATATGTGAAATTCAGAGAAACCTTCAGTTCAGTAACCTTGGTGGTGAGTTTTTTAAAATCAGCTGCGACTGTTTATTCATACCACACATATTTGCATGCTCTTCTCATCTTAACCATGTCGTGCAGCTCTGGAAGTTGGTCCTCGTCAATCATCAGAATCTCTAGAAGCCTCTAGAATAATGCATTCAAATGGTACACCCCCTTTGCTGAATGTCCACTTGAGATTGTGTATCTTTTCAAAAACATTCATTTTGAAATTATTTTAAAGCAATTTGCTGAAAATGTCTATTTTGGGGACATAACAGAAAAGTATCTTACTGTCCATTGCAAAGTCGGTGATTAGATTCTGGAGTGCAGCACAACTAGAACCCAGCCGTTCACTATTTTTGCTTGGTGTTATTATGTGAATGAAAAGGCTTGCACTATTTGAATATAAATGTGTCCTATGTTAGTAGAGTTCAGTAACCATTTGCTACTCTATTTTGTACTTACTGTTAGCTTGATAACTAAAACAATTCCTTCAATTGTCCTCAAACATTCACAACAATTTTTGACTCATGATGACCTTATATAGAATTCCTAAAACTCTGATTAATGTATCAAAGTCTTATTCAATGTACTATGCTGAAGAGCATTGTATTATTATCTGGTAATATTTTTTGAATGCAATCAAAGGCAGATCCTTAGGGCATCACTTTCTTAAATTGCCTGAGATGTTTGGCGAATGAAAGAATCATTCTTAAGAAGTATCAGGCCAAAATGAAAAGAAAGTTCCTCTCGGACCCATATACATTATGGAGAAAAAAAGCAGCCTGTTTCTTCCACCTGTTAACTATGGTAGTAATTGATTAATAGACATCATCTGTAGTTATGTTTCTTATTAAGGCGTATTCATATCATGTATAGAATAGCAGTGCAGTTAGGTATAAACTAATGGATAAAAACATGACAATGCCAACTCCTGAAGTTGATAAAAGATGATGACTTGAGAGATATGGGCATGTTTTCTGGGCTAATTTTGGTTCATTGATCTTTTGTTTTATTTTTGGTTTCTTCTCCACCTTTTTTCTTACACTCTGTTATGCAAACATGTGAGCAATGACTTGTGCTTTGCTCGGCTGCAGTTCATATTACTGTCCGCTTTGCTTAGCTGCAGCTTATATTAGTGTCTAGCATATATGCATGTGTACTTTACCTCATCTAGTGTTTGTTTCACTGTTATGTCTAGTAATCATTCTCCCCTCTGCAGATGATTCATTCCGCTCTGCTAACGGCGAATTCAGGGAGCTTCCTCCTGTTGAGTTGTCTAATCTTCCTTTTATTTTGAAGGTTAGATTTTTCTTGTGTTCTTATATGAAAATGTTATCATTTGGCCTCCAACACGTAGTCACAACATTTATTTATTTTATGTTTTTGGTTGAATGTTTACTCTCGCTATCATTGTTACACTAGTAATATGCATTTTGTCTGGGCTGAGAATATAGTTTGCGCTTGCCTGATCATGTCTTTTAAGTCTGATATCTTGATGAATACATGTTGCAATTTGGTAGTCCCATACTAGCTTTTGACTAGCTGCTTATTCTTCTATTTGTCTAGTGTAACCCAGAGTGTGAAGGTAAAACTATGATTATCTGTTTTCGTATGTAATTATTGATACTAGCGGTGAATGGGGTTGTTTGTGAATTGAGACAGTTTTGGAACCAGGGCAGTCCATCTGGCTATTGAAAGGCATTGCTGATATTGCTAGTCTGATATGTACCTATTTCATAGAAATGACTTTAAGCTTTTGTATACCTTTTGCTTTTTTTTTTTTTTTTGGGGGGGGGAGGCAGGTACAATGATACATTTGTCAATAAGGAAATTATCATATATTGTTTTGATGCTTGGGAGCTTAAATGAACTAATTTAAAAATACCGGTGACAATAATCTGCAGACTGTATTGGAGGGTGGCATTACAGATCAGATCCACGTGGCAGAGTTGATAACACAAGATGTAAGCCATCTAAACTTTGCCATGTCATGGTCACATGTACGAAATGTACTGGATTCTTGTTAGCATTCTGCTAATTGTATTGTAAGATATTACGTTCACCGAAACATCAGCCAACCACACGTTACTCCCTAAAGCATGGATCATGGGTTTGGTACAGCACATTAATTATAACAAAAGCCTACAGACGGATGCATTTGTGCTTCCTTATTACTGCGATTTTGAAAATAAGTAAACTTGAGCTTTCTGTTGAGTCTTTTGGGAAAATGCCTCTCGATATGTGGCATCCATAGTTTCTTTGTTGAAAAGTCATTATTGATGGGCGAGACGCATCATATGCTGCATTATTGGCCAATACACACTCAGTTTGATTGTTCTTTTAGGTTCATTACCTCACTCTTTCTTAGACATTAGATGAAATAATCTTACGTAGAGTTTTGTTTGTAGATAATGTTTAAGCAAGATTATTTTCCACATGCTAGTTTGTCAGAATATGTAGCAGTCTCCTAAGGAGCTATTTCTTTCTTGATTAAGTAATTGTACTATTGGCTACACAACGTCTCATGCCTGTGTAGTGTAAATGTCATCTTGACATAAGATTTGTTAAACTCATCTCTTTGCATTCAAATAGAGATGTTTGCTTGAGTCTCACTGTTCTTATGATCGGTGTAGTTATTGTTGTACATTCATGTAACAGTAGATCAAATGTTTATTAATGAGTGACATAAGGAGGAATTCAAATGGTGATGGTGATAAGAACACATAGTTGCAATCCAACTGCATGAATCTAATTATATAATTCTGATATCATGTATGGGCGGGTGGTTTGATGAAATGTGAGTCCAGTTAGACTGGAATGACTGATAGACTGATATGGATAGACAATGGTGGCACTGCATTTTCTTCAAATCTGATATATGGTGCCATTAACTCCAAATAAGAATGGTCTTAATACTTTAATAAACTGATTGATGGTGCTTTCCTGCTGCAATCCCTTCTTGACTCATTTTGTTGGTTTGATGTGGATCAACATAACTAAGTGTCACTAAAACTTCGGAGAGGGCTGCATAACAACAGATGCATAGAATTGATTATGCCATCTTTTTTGGGCATGATTTTTCTTTGACTGAAGTCTTGAACTATTCTACATGCAAATTCCTGCAGCGTGACTTTTTCCCAAAGCTAGTGGACATTTTCAGAATGTGTGAGGATTTAGAGAACATAGATGATCTTCACATGATTTTCAAATTGGTCAAGGGAATAAGTAAGTACATGCCTGTATTAAAAGTGCACTTAGTAGCGTTTTTATACTGGTACTGATTATTAATTTTCATTCTGCAGTATTGTTGAACAGTCCATCGATCTTTGACAAGATTTTCTCTGATGAGTTTATTCTTGACATAATAGGTGCCCTTGAATGTATGCTATCTCCATTGTTTCCCCATGTTTCTCATATTCCTTCATTATAGCATGCAATCATGTGTGATCTTATTATAACTGCAATGCGTCATCCAAGGTTGCTGGTTTCTTATTTTAACCAGATATACTCTGTACAGATGATCCAGAGGTTCCAAGAGTGCAAAAGCACCGTGCTTTTCTAAAAGATCATGTAGTTTTCAAAGAGGTATTCTGAGTTTTCTTCCACATGTTGTCCTGCTTGAGAAGAAATGGTTATTTAATGTATATATAACCATGTTTCTGCCACAGGCCATACATATTGAAAATGTTTCTGTTGTTTCGAAGATTCATCAAACATACAGAATAGGCTATCTTAAGGTCAGTGTCTCTTCATAATTGTTAGCTAACTTTTGTACCTCCTTGGTGTATGTTAATATTCCTTTTACTTAGCCTCTTCTAGGGCATGACTTTTTTTGGGGGGCATTTGCAGGATGTTATACTACCACGAATATTGGATGATGCCACTCTAGCAAGTCTGAACACAATGATACACTCAAATAATGCTTCTGTTAGTGTTTCTGCCTCACCCCAGTGTTGGTATCCTTGAATCGTCTCCCATTTGTTACTTGTGATATAATGATCTGCCTGCAGGTTATTTCCTTGCTAAAGGATGATGCACTCTTTATAAGACAACTATTAGCTAGGATGAGGTCATCAGATATTTCTATGGAATCGAAACGAGAATTGGTGAGAAGGCTTTATTGTTCTTGTTAATGATGACTTGATGTCTTTGTTTTTTTAACATTTCTTGAGTGAAGTCACTAACTGTTATGACCGGCAAGACGTACACGAGGAGGAGGCCCATTAGTGGCTAGATTAGGCGCAGGGGTGGGGCTCCAAGCCCATATTATTATCCTTATTTATTTCCTATTATTAGAGGACTCATATAAATAGGCCACTTGTAAGACGATTGGACTTTAAGCAAGAGAATCATAATTCTCGGCTTCCCTTAGGGAGCCGGGAGACCCCAAAGCCCTAGCTGCCTCCTTCCCTCTTCTCGCGCGGTGATCACGGCGCCCCGACGCCGTGCCTTGCGACTTCTCCTCCGTCCTCCTCCCACGCACTCATACAATCTGAGGGCTCGCACCGGTAGGCATCCAATTCCTATCAATCTGGTATCAGAGATCTCAGGATCGATCATGTCTTCTCAACGTAGCGCATCCCACCCGCCGTCGCTCTCCACCCAATTGTCTACCACCACCCACCCTCCACAATCGTCCTCCCCTGTGGGCGCGCAGGTCGCCTCTGGGGCGCTGGCTAACCCAGCCTCCTCGCCGCCGAACCCTGCGCCGCCCGTCTTCACCCCGGCGGAGATGACGACTGCCATATTGGACTTAGGGCAGGCCGTTGCGGGCATCCGGGCTTTCCTGTCAGGGCCCTATGCGCCGCTGCCGCCGTCCCAATTCACCTATCCGCCGCCGCAGCAGCAGCAGCTGCTGCCTCCACCGCCCTCGACGGGGGTCATCGCGCCTCCTGTGTCATACCCCGGCGCTGCGCCGACCTTTTCCCCGGGCACGACGACGTCTTTCGAGGGGGTGCCGATCCAGCAAATTCGGTTTCCCCCATCGCCATCCCCACTGCTCACCTGGGTCGCCGGTTCCTTGGAGCCGGTCTACACGGGGACCGGTACCCAGCCGCACTTGCCGCCACATTCGACGTCAAGCGCCACCATGGCGCACGGCGGGATCCCGGCTTCGGGGGTCCTTTATGGTGGGGTGGACGGCCCCCTCTTTCATGGTGGCAGTCTCATGCCGTCGTTCTTCGCCCCGTCTTCGTCGGCCGACAACGCTGGTGGGCCGTCCATGCCTGGCGGGGCAACTCTGCCCGCTGTCCACGAACCGCCGCCGCCCAAGTTCTCCAAATTCGAGTTCCCAACGTACGACGGCTCCGTTGACCCCTTGAACTGGCTCAACCAGTGCGATCAGTTTTTCAGGGGTCAGCGTACGATCGCCTCCGAATGGACATGGCTGGCATCGTATCACGTGCGAGGGGCTGCCCAGACGTGGTACTACGCCCTCGAACAGGACGAAGGTGGCATGTCGCCATGGGACCGTTTCCGGGAGTTATGTCTTCTCCGGTTTGGCCCTCCGATCCGCGGGAGTCGCCTGGCCGAGCTCGGTCGACTGCCCTTCACCTCCACCGTGCAGGACTTTGCCGACCGCTTCTAGGCGCTGGCATGCCACGCCCCCGGCGTCTCCTCTCGCCAGCGGGCTGAGCTCTTCGTGGGCGGCCTGCCGGACCATATCCGGGTGGACGTGGAGCTACGAGGCCCCCAGGATCTCCAGGCGGCCATATACTATGCCTGGGCGTTTGAGCGTCGCGCGACGGCCGTCCAGCAGCTTCCGCTACCACGGGCGGTTCGACCGGCTCCACGACAGGTTTACCGCCACGGCCACGACGCTCCCTGAGCACCTCCAATGAACAACGCGCCGCCGCGCGCGCGCGCCGCTTTCGTCGCCTCACACCACCCGAGAACAATGGGCGCCGCGTCGACAAGGGCTCTGCTACAATTGTGACGAGCCCTATGTCCCTGGCCACGTCTGCCAGCGCCTCTTCTATTTGGAAGCTGCGGACTACGTCGACAACGACGGCGCGGCCGCCGGGAATGAGGACGATGCTATCCAGCAGGAGGACTTGGGCACCCCGGAGCAGCCGCATGCTAACGCCCTCGTCGTCTCTCTCCATGCCTTTGCAGGTATTCGGACGGAGAATACTATGCTGCTGCTAGTGCGGGTAAAAGGGGAGCAGCTCGTGGCCCTCGTGGACATGGGGTCCACGCACAACTTCCTGCCCGGCGCCACCATGCGCCGCCTAGGCCTCGCACCGACCGGCGGGGAGCAGCTGCGGATCACAGTTGCCAACGGTGATCGCCTTTGGTGCGAGGGTATCGTCCGTAACGTCCCCATCACCATCGGGGGCGAGGAGTTCGCCGTCACCTGTGTCGGCCTCGATTTGGGCTGTTTTGACTTCATCCTCGGTGTCAACTTCCTGCGGACGCTAGGACCCATCTTGTGGGACTTTGCAGCCATGACGATGGCCTTCTGGCGTGGGGCTCGCCGCGTCCTTTGGCAGGGCGCGGGCGCCGCGGCAAGTACCGCGCATCACCTGCAGTTGGTGGCTGCCTCCACCGACTCTCAGCAGCCGCTGCTGGAGCGCCTCCTGCAGCAGCACAACGCCATCTTTGAGGAGCCGCAGGGCTTACCGCTAGCCCGGCCGTACAACCACCGCATACATCTACTGCCGGACACTCCTCCGGTTGCCGTGTGGCCCTATCGCTACCCGCAGCTGCAGAAGGACGAGCTGGAGCGGCAGTGCGAGGCCATGCTCACCCAGGGCATCATCCGGCCTACCACCTCGCCGTTCTCGGCGCTCGTGCTTCTCGTTCGCAAGGCCGACAAGTCTTGGCGCTTCTGCATCGACTACTGCGCCCTCAACGCCAAGACGTCCAAGGACAAGTTCCCCATTCCAGTCGTGGATGAGCTGCTCGACGAGCTCCATGGGGTTCGCTTCTTCACCAAGCTTGACCTGCGCTCGGGCTACCACCAGGTGCGGATGCACCCGGATGATGTGGTCAAGACGGCTTTTCGCACACATCACAGCCACTTCGAGTTCCTGGTCATGCCATTCGGCCTCTCCAACGCCTCGGCGACATTTCAGGCCCTAATGAACGACGTCCTCCGGCCCTATTTGCGAAGGTTTGTGCTGGTATTTTTCGATGATATCCTCATCTACAGCTCGTCGTGGGCGGAGCACCTGCAGCACATCACCATTGTCCTAAACGAGCTTCGAGCGCACCGACTCCACCTGAAGCGCTCGAAGTGCTCGTTTGGGACAACTTCCGTCGCCTACTTGGGCCACGTCATCTCCGCGGATGGGGTGGCCATGGATGCTGACAAGGTGGCGGCGGTGGAGGCGTGGCCCACGCCGCGGTCTGTCCGGGGCCTTCGGGGCTTCCTGGGCTTGGCTGGCTACTACCGGAAGTTCATCCGGGAGTTCGGCCTCATCGCAGCTCCCCTCACGCGGCTGTTGCGCCGCGATGCCTTCGTCTGGGACACGGAGGCCGAGACGGCCTTCCAGGCGCTCAAGCGTGCCCTCACCACGGGGCCCGTCCTCCAGATGCCAGACTTCGACAAGTTCATGGTGGACTGCGATGCCTCAGGCGTGGGGTTCGGCGCCGTCCTCCATCAGGGCGCGGGACCTCTCGCTTTCTTTAGCAGGCCGTTCGCCGCGCGCCACCTAAAGCTCGCGGCCTACGAACGGGAACTCATCGGCCTGGTGCAGGTCGTGCGCCACTGGCGCCCGTATCTGTGGGGGCGCCACTTTCTTATTCGCACTGACCATTACAGTTTAAAGTTTCTCTTGGACCAGCGCTTGTCGACCGTTCCTCAGCATCAATGGATCAGCAAGCTCTTCGGGTTCGACTTCACCGTCGAGTATCGCCCGGGGCGCCTTAATACCGTTGGCGGACGCGTTGTCTCGCCGTGACGTCGAGCTGGATTCTGGGCCGGCCAGCGGGGAGGGGGCGGCCATGTGTGCCACCTCCGGGCCCTCCTTTGCGCTCATCGACGACATCCGCCGCGCCACGGAATCCGCAGCGGACGCGGTGCTCCTCCACCAGCGCCTGGAGGCCGGTACCCTGCAGGGACCTGCAGGCACAGCAGTGCCGCGGCGTCTGGCGCGTGTTGATTAAGTGGCGCGACCTGCCCGATGAAGATGCGACTTGGGAGTCTCTCGACGACTTCCGCGACCACTTTCCCGCCTTCCAGCTCGAGGACGTGCTGTTTGCGCAGGCGGGGAGAGATGTTATGACCGGCAAGACGTACACGAGGAGGAGGCCCATTAGTGGCTAGATTAGGCGCAGGGGTGGGGCTCCAAGCCCATATTATTATCCTTATTTATTTCCTATTATTAGAGGACTCATATAAATAGGCCACTTGTAAGACGATTGGACTTTAAGCAAGAGAATCATAATTCTCGGCTTCCCTTAGGGAGCCGGGAGACCCCAAAGCCCTAGCCGCCTCCTTCCCTCTTCTCGCGCGGCGATCACGGCGCCCCGACGCCGTGCCTCGCGACTTCTCCTCCGTCCTCCTCCCACGCACTCATACAATCTGAGAGCTCGCACCGGTAGGGATCCAATTCCTATCACTAACTCACTATTGTAAATTAGTTAGCATCATCACAATGGAATTGAGTTAGATAGTTGAAGCTAATAAGGCGAGACTGCCCCATTGCTGTTGGCATTGATGCAAATGATAATCTAGGACTGAAAATGTCACTATCTTCATGATTTTTATTGATTTTTTTGTTGTTTCTTTATTTCCTAACATAACAAGAGACAGCTGGATTAGATGGGCTTTGTTTTCTTGAATGCATTATATAATTGTTAAATTTGATTGTTACCTGAGTCTAGTTCTTTATAGGATGTTGGATGTTTAGGTTTCGCTTGCCTTTAGGCAATTCGGGTTAATGCTACACAAGTTTCATCACCTTAAAAATTGCCACTCGATGTCTCCCGGAGTTCTGTATGTGGCTCGCACATTTTGGACCCACCTCATTTCTAACGAAATTATGAAATTGCTCAAGGTTTCGTCACTTGCATTTGCTATCACAGAGGCTCTCTTATCTTTATGATTAGTTAATCTGGAGTAAGCTAGCTTGCTTTGCCAGTCTGTTTGCCTTGCAATTGCTGGAACCTGGGTTGAAAATGGAATGCCTTGCATCCTTTTTGTTGACCCTGCTAACAATGTTTCTGTATTTCCAGGTTCTGTTCTTGCATGAATTTTGCACACTTAGTAAGAGTCTACCACTTGTTCAGCAACTGCGACTGTTTCGGTAAGTCCTTCAATTTCATTCTTCTTTCTTTCTACCAGTAAAAGGCATAACACAACACTGCCACGGTATTGTATCAATTCTCCAAATGTGTAAATGCATGGCTGCAGGCTATCTGTACTACAAAAACAAAAAGAAATATGATCATATAGTACCGGTGTGCCTGAGCTTGGTGTTGTCATTGTTTTCTCTGCTTGGCAGCCCTGTGCTTTGCCTCGCTATCGTTTGACTTCAGATTGCTGAGGATATCTTGTTATAGGTATATCAGGGGTTATCATTCAGATTTTTTATGTGTTTGTTATCTAATACATATAACCTTAAATCGTTGTGCGCAATGTGACTAATAGAGTGCATACAACCAACCCAATGTACCTTACAGATTCGAAGACAAATGTGCTGCTCTACTTTAAGATAGCTGTGAACTCTTTTTGGTTGCTGGAATTCTTGTAGCCAGGAACTAACCACCAATTTTTCTTCAGGGATCTTTCAGGTGAAGGCGTTTTTGAAATAATTTCTGATGTGTTGCAGAGTCAAGATAGAAAAATCGTTTCAGCTGGGTACTTATTAAAGAGTGCATTTATATAAGCATCTTTGTTGGCGAACCACATTTTGTTCAATGTTCTAACTGCAGTTTATTGACGAATGCAGGATAGATATCCTTATACTTTTTCTTAATCAGGACCCTAACCTATTGAGGTCATATATTGTCCAGCAAGAAGGAAATTCTCTTCTAGGACTTCTGGTAAGTTGCAACTTCTTGGAGGTCTGAAATCTACAGTAAAATCTTTTATACAGTACTCCATCCACTCCAAATTTAAAGATGTTTTGGCTTTTCTAGATACGTAGCTTTTGCTATGCACTTAGATATACACTGTATCTAGATACATAGAAAAAGCAATGTATCTAGAAAAGCCAAAACGTCTTATAATTTGGAATGGAGGGAGTAACACTTATTCCATCCTTTGTGCTCCCTCTGATTGAAACTATAAATTATTTAGGATTCATTTTCGTGAACCATTTTAAGCTTTGACTATATTGAGTGTACAGAAGTAGGTAGATTTACAACATAAGATGGATATTAGTAGATTCACTTTTAGAAAGTACTTCTGTAACAACCCTTTTTTATAAATATCATAATCCTATAGAAATGAGTGGTTAAATTTCAATCTTGTAGATTGTGTTGACATTCAAAAGTAGTTATATCTCTGATCAGAGGGAGTAGCATTTTGAATATATGAAACTGCTCGTCATTTAGCTGAACTGGGGTGCAACTGTGCATTTCTTATCTCACATGTTTTAAACAAGAAATGATAACAGGGCCTCTTTGGATATGATCTAAGTATGTGTTTTTCTAGTGATATAGCAATAAAACACAAGTATCTATCTGTCACCAGCGAGTTCGTTTACTCTTGGTTGCAATTGACTTGACGTGAAATGAAAGATGACCAAACTTGCCCTCTTTTCTCAATGCCTCTGTATTATTATTTCTTCCTAGTCATGTTTTGTGTATAATTTCAATGCTAATTTGTAGGTGAAAGGCATGGTAACTGACTTCGGTGAGGAAATGCACTGCCAGTTTCTAGAAATCCTGCGCATATTGATGGATTCCTTCACTATGTCTGGAGCACATGTAAGTTACGTTTTCTACCAAACTGAGTTTAGGTTACATATTGACTTTCACTCGGTAGTCGCATTACCTCGAGTTGTTCATTTGAGTTTGAGTCTTACAAATTTGGTTCACATATCTTGTAATATGTGATATTTAATTGATAAAATTATTTGGAACTCCACTACTATACAACCATGGAATAGATTTTCCCATGCTAGTTCAAGTTTCCAACTTTTAATTTCAGTATATGGTGATGTGGACTGTGTTTATAGCACCTACCATTTGCCACCTAGGGTACAATCTGTTGAATGATTCAGTTATTAATTATGCGATGTGAAATTATAAAACATTATGGATTGCTTGTCTCTTCTAGGCTACCCATTTGTTATTTGCTTCCACTTTGCTTATCTCTGAACTCTGATGGATAGTTTGCCATTGTTGTTTTTTTCTTCTTATTATAATGATACGCAGCTCTCCTGTGTGTTTCAGAAAAAAAGTTGCCTTTGTTTTTGGTAACTTTCGTGGTGGTAGATCATGGTCATTTTTCAGCATCTTGTGTTGAAAACTTGAAATCTGTTAAAAATCTCTGAAATTCACAAAATCTTCTGACCTGATTTAGCTGCACTAAGTCTTCATTTCCTTCTGCAGAGAGACATAATTATTGAGATTTTCTACGAAAGGCATCTTGACTATTTGGTTGATGTAATAGCATCCTCTTGTTCCCCGGGGAGCTTGTCTCGATCGACATCTAACTCTGTACGTGTTGGTGGAAATGCTGAAGGACACCGTATCAAGCCTGAGATTTTGTTAAATGTTTGTGAACTGCTGTGCTTTTGTGTAGTTCATCATCACTACAGAATTAAGTACTACTCTGTACAAACTTCTTCCATTATACCATGATACTTCTATGATTTTTATATGCATGTTTCTAAATGTTTGTTAATCTTGTGTAGGTGCAATTTTCTTATGAACAATGCTATCGAGAAAATCCTTACATTGACTCGACGGAGGGAGAAGTTTTTGGTTGTAGCAGCTGTTAGGTTTATGCGTACTATTATATCCAGAAATGTAAGATTTATGGATTTTGAATTTTTTTCTTTTTACGTTGTTAGAAAATTGGAAGTTCCCTTGAAGTTATGCCCTATCATGGTTGAAGTGTTCCTCAATGTATCCTAGCTCTTGCAGAGCTCATTTTATGATAGATATAGTTTCAGTCCACAAATGATGTGCTATTGTAAGTTTCAAATATAAGGTATATGCTATTACCAGGCATTGCATTTTACCTTTAGCACAATAGTTTCCCGCAGAGAACTGTTCCTAGGTGATACCTGCAGGATAATAGCTCGCCTGCTTTAATGTTAGCACACCATGATTTCCTGAAGTATCAAGTGCAAACCAACCTCTCCGTGCAAACCGTGCAAACCAACTGTGGGGGAGAGGTGGGAGGAGGGATTTGCAAAAGTGTAATTACGCCCGCTCCTAATTACACTTTTGCAAATCCCCCCTCCCACCTCTCCCCCGCAGTTGGTTTGCACGGTGCAAAAGTGTAATTACGCCCGCTCCTAATTACACTTTTGCAAATCCCCCCTCCCACCTCTCCTCCGCAGTTGGTTTGCACGGTTTGCACGGAGAGGTTGGTTTGCACTAGATATGTTCCCTTGTTTGATTGCTTTATTTGCTGGATTCTCAGTACAACTACCCGGGCATATATATTTTCACTTATGCTTAATCCAGATATATGGCTAACTAACGGATCCCCATTACGTGTGTTAGTTAAACAAGCAGCTAGGCATCATTCTTGTATCCCACTTGATATATCCTTTATATTTTGTAGGATGAGCATCTCATTCGCCATGTTGTGAAGTTCAACTTGTTGAAACCAATAATTGATGTCTTTGTTGACAATGGGGAGAGATACAACATGCTACATTCAGGAGTACTTGAATTGTTGGAATACATACGAAAGGTACGATTTCAGGTTGCCGCTTTGAATTTTGTGTTTTACCTGGTTGCCACTTTGAAATCTGGCTTTTACTTCACCACTATGAATTCTGCCTTATGCACTGGATACTTACCTACATACAGGAAAATATAAAACCTCTCATTCTCTATGTTATCGAGTCTTTCTGGGAGAGGGATGAACTTGCCAAGTTTGAACACTTTGAGAGTATTCAGGCCTTCAAACTCAAGTATAACCAGGTTGAACCATTTCTTGTGTACTATTGCATCCCATGTTGAGCTTTTGATAAAGTGACTTTCATACTGCTAACACTAGTTTCTGCCTACCTTATGCATTATTGAGTGAGATGGTCTCTCTTTTGTTTCTTCCTTCTTTTGACAAGTACCTGGAGAGTGCTGAACCAAGGTTGAATGCTAGTATGCCTGACATGAGAAAGAAGGCAGAACAAAGAGGTCTTGAGAAGGAAGAGGAAGACTACTTCAATGAGGACAGGTATGCTATTGTTTTCTTACTGGTAATTTCTTCATTATTTTAGTAATATATAGCCGAGATTGGATATTCAAGGGTGCTATTATGTTCAGAGATTATACAGTGAATTAGCAAGTGAAATGATATTTGTTCTTTCTAGTGATGAAGAAGGTTCAGGCTCCGGCCGGCGGCCTAAACATGCACAGAACCAGCATAGCAAGCCTAAGCCTAAGGTCCCTAACGGAAGTGAAGCCGACGACACTGATGACGCCTCTAGGTATTGTTTCTTCAGATACAGTATGAGATGATCTTGAGTTCCCATGTGGTAGCTTATATCTGTTGTATTGCTTTCTCATGATATCTGTTGTATTGCTTTCTCATGTTACATTTAATGACAATCTTGAAAATCATATCATGCAGAACTCGATAAGTTCTAGTTTAATTTGTTAATGTTGGTTGCTTCAGTATTGATCCCTCCCTTTTCAGGCCTAAATCTGCTGGACTTGTGGACTATGACGATGATGACGATGAGGACTTTAATCCACCACCAAAGGAGCCTTCTAGGCCTGCAGAGGATGATGTGCCGTTAAACATATCCCCGGTGAAGCGGAAGCCAGTGAATGCGGTGGATGGGAAACATGCAGATGGGGAGGGTCGCAGGAGGCAAAAAATAGAAACCAGAATTAGTTGTGCTAAAATTGCTGCTGTTACTAGTACAGCTATTAAGCACACAGATCTACAAAACAAGCATGCCTCCCACTTGCCTACATCAGCCACGCCAAGTACTGAAGCCAATGGTGTTTTTAGGGAGCGTGGCACTAACTCTGAGGAGCATCAACATTCTGTAGAGAACACAGAAACTTCACGACAAGCTGGTGGTGATTGTATAAAAGATGTGGGCAGTATGTCTCCCGAGAAGGCTGTAAATACTACCAACACAAGCGATTCGGAGCCTTATTCAGTAAGATGACTACTACACAGCTGGTTTGCCCCTGTACCCAACCTTTCTCTGGCCAGCAGGAAGGAATTGGAATGTGGTCGGCCCCAAAGGCTGAATTCATTGATATCAAGCTGGAAGCATGATTGGAGGTGACATAGATTGCAGTTGCAGCTACCTTTACATCTCAAGTAAAATTCCAGTTACCCCCTTTTGAGCCTGTAAAGTTAATTTTCCGCAAGGAAAGATCTGACAAACATGAGAATTGGAATGACTGTAGATTCGAACAATGAATGGGCCTTGCTCCTGCTGCTGCGCTCGCTATTGTATCTGTTTATGAGCTAATGTAGTAGCAGTGAATATGTGCCTTCAACTTCATTATTTTTGTCCACAATCATTGACTCTGATGTTACTGCTGTAAAACAAGTAGGATTAAGGCATAGTTTCTGTTGAATAGCGTTTTTCGCAAGAGTTGTGCTAACTCATCTATACGATTGTAGAATTTCAAAAGTGAATAATGTTCGATGTATTGAGATCTGGGTTATGGATGGTTTACTTGCGGCTGCGATTATATCCTACTGCTCCAGAACAGGTTCACTAAATGCTGTGATCCAATCAAAAAAACTTTCTTGCTCTTGTTAGGACTGTAATATCTTTAACTAAATTACACAGGTAACATGGTTACTCCATCTGCAAAACAGAATCATGAGAAATGTGAAAACATTACACAGGTAATATGGTTACTCCATCTGTGAAACAGAATCATGTTTTCAACCAGTGTCAACTCTGACGCCTTTTTCTTTGCTTGATCCATGCTCATCTGGGCGTACAACAAGCCTCCGCCCTGTCTACTTGAATATGAGGCCTCCATGGGCAGCGAAGAATGGCGCAAATACTAGAGACTCCACGGCCATGAGCTTGATCAGGATGTTGAGGGACGGTCCAGAGGTGTCCTTTAGAGGGTCGCCGATGGTGTCGCCGATCACGGCAGCCGCCTTGTGAGCGTCCGACCCCTTGGGACCCAGAGACAGAGCGTGGTCAGACGCACCTGCCTGTGTGAACAAGGCGGAGAAAAAAATAACCTCGGATGTATCTCTAGAAACAATGTACAACAACATAAATTAACAAAGGGTGTGTATTGCTAGAGGTAGGGTCAGTGCTTTTTTTTTGGGAACATGACCTATGGTAGGTTGCAAACGTCAGATATGAACGGATTCTATGGATACGATGAATACAGATAGCTATAATATTTTTCGGACTCAAATTCGGATACGGATAAATATTACTTGTACCAGATAAGATATGAATAGATATCGACATCATATATATTTGATTTCAGTGTTCAAATACAGATATAGTGTCGAGTAGTGTTGGGTACTAATTATCCGGACTCAATACATATAGATCTCAATTTCTCTAAATGGATTTGAACTTAGATACCAAAGAAAAATATCCATATCATCTCAACTCATACCATTTGAGTTTTGAGTACCTTAGTAGCTATAGTTACTCTTTTAGGGTGTGTGGGAGTACATTTTTAATACATATAAATATTCCAATCGCAGAGCAAAAAAGTTATTATTTCGCCCATTTTTATGGTAATATTGTGTTTTTTGTTATGAATACTAAATACATATGTAGAAGCATTGGAAAACTATTGAGACATACGCTTGATGTATATATTTATCACATTTATGAGATGTTATATCGTATTGTCCGGCCTCCCATAATCAGAAGTCCTGGTTCCACCACTGTGTGGGCCGACTTTGCCGTCGCTATTGCTAAATGGTTGGTCGCCATGAGTAGTGTTTAGAAAGTCTAGATGGTCGACTATACGGTTTACACTAGCAAAGACTTCTATATTTTTTTTACTAGTTACATGCTATATTTGTTAAGAAAAATTTAAACATACCCTTCAAAGGTAAAATGAAATATGAATTTGGTCTTCCATTGTGCTCTCAAATAAATTTATTTGATATTATCAACAATCAATATAAAATACTATCTCCGCTCCAAAAGAAAACATAACATTTTAGTTATCATATGTCAAACTATCTTAGATTTGGCCATGTGTTTAGATAAATATTGTCACATTTATGACATCAAATATATACACGAGAAATATATATCCTCCACTATAAATATAGTAATACTTATTTGCTAATATATATACAAATACCATTATTTTTTGTAAACTCGATCAAATTTAAGATAGTTCGATTTAGAACAAAATTAAAATGTCAAATTTTTACGTTTTTTAGGACAGGCGGTAACATGTTGTCACCTTACTCAGCAATCCACTCGTCACTTGGGTTGCCACCGACGCTGACCATTTAAATTGCGCAAAAGTCCTAGTTCCACCACTGTGTGGGCCAACTTTGCCGTCGCTATTGCTAAATGGTTGGTCGCCATGAGTAGTGTTTATAAAGTCTAGATGGTCGACTATATGGTTTACACTAGCAAAGACTTCTATATTTTTTTACTAGTTACATGCTATATTTGTTAAAAAAATTAAACATGCCCTTCAAAGGTAAAATGAAATATGAATTTGGTCTTCCATTGTGCTCTCAAATAAATTTATTTGATATTATCAACAATCAATATAAAATACTATCTCCGCTCCAAAAGAAAACATAACATTTTAGTTATAATATGTCAAACTATCTTAGATTTGGCCATGTGTTTAGATAAAGATTGCCATATTTATGACATCAAATATATACACGGGAAATATATATCCTCCACGATAAATATAGTAATACTTATTTGCTAATATATATACAAATACCATTATTTTTTGTAAACTTAATCAAATTTAAGATAGTTCCATTTAGAACATTATTAGAATGTCAAAATTTTACGTTTTTTAGGGCAGAGGCGGTAACATGTTGTCACCTTACTCAGCAATCCACCCGTCACTTGGGTTGCCACCGACGCTGACCATTTAAATTGCGTAGTTTAACTCATTGTTTTGGCTCTAAACTACTATACGCTAACCTACTGTGTATAGGTTTAAAAACACTTGTCTAGACGCATTTAGGCGAGAAATAGGTGTGGTTATGGTGTATGTGTTTGAGCATTCGAACTGTACTTCTGAAAAAAAATACTCCTGATTGAGAAATAATTTTTTAAACTAATAAATGTTAAAAGTCCAAGGTAGTGAAGCCAGTGTGCACCTCTATATATTTCTTGGCATTGTCCCATGCTCCACCACTGTTCGAAGCAGATATGGCAATCTGCACAAGGCAACGTGGATCAAATAAACGTCACGCGGAAGCACCACGGCACGCCAATTCGTTGCCATATATACCTGGACACCGGAAATCAGTGCGCCGGCGAGCAGTCCAGCGAGCGTGCTAACTCCGAAGAAGGTGCCGGCGACCAGCGGCGCGAGCAGCACCAGCGCTCCGGGCGGCATCATCTCCTTGAGCGACGCGTCCGTGGAGATCCTGACGCAGCGGGCGTAGTCCGGCGCGGCGCGGCCCTCCATCAGCCCAGGGATGGTGACGAACTGCCAGAGGACCTCCTCCACCATCTTCAGCGCTGCGCTGCCCACGCTTCATCGTCATCGCCGAGAACCAGTACGGGAGCATCGCCCCCACGAGAAGGCCGACGAACACCTTCGGGTTGAGCACGTTCACGTCCGCGATCCCCGCGCGGCTCACGAACGCGCCGAACAGCGCCAGCGACACCAGCGCGGCCGATCCGATGGCGAAGCCCTGCAAGAAAGTTTAATGTAATCATGCAATGTTGACGCGTGAGTTCAAATGATAATGATTGAATATATACGTAACGTACCTTGCCAATGGCGGCCCTGGTGTTGCCGGCGGCGTCGGTTCTCTGCCGGATCCTGCGGCTCATGCCGGCCATCTCAGCGATCCCGCCAGCGTTGTCGCTGATGGGGCCGTATGCGTCGATGGCCAGCCCCGTGGCGACCGTGCTCAGCATCCCGAGCGCGGCGACCGCGATGCCGTAGATGGAGGCCAGCGTGAAGCCGACGTAGATGGACACGACGATGGCGAAGACGGGCACGATGACGGACTTGTACCCGAGGGCGAGCCCGAAGATGACGTTGGTCGCCGCGCTCGTCCTGCATGAGTCGGCCACGTCCCGGACCGGGCTGCGCATTGCATTTCAGACCACTGTTAACTAGGCAGCTGGTGGAGGTTACTTGCTCTGCAGCTAATCCATGGTTTCAACCAAAAATTACCTGTAGGCGTTGCTGGTGAAGTACTCGGTGGTGAAACCGATGGCGAGACCGGCCCAAAGCCCAATGGCCACGCAGAAGAACAGGTGCCTGCCATTGCCAATTGCGAATAGCTTAATTCGGTATGGCGTGCATTTCTCAGGTAAGGTGGTTTCCATTAGCGATTGAGGACTGTCACTTTCTTACCAGTTCTTCACTTGCTTCACTTGTCCGAAATCGAACATGGTGAAGTTGGCGGGGTGGAGATGATGAGCTGCAGCTTCAGCGCCGGCGCGACGCCACGGACGGCCTTGACCTTCGTGGTGACTTTTAGACATAATCTGCTGCTCCCCATTTTTTCTTGGTCGGAGACTGGTCGGCCAACCACTTTATATTGGGAGTTAGGGACTGATCGGCTCTGCCGATCAGTTTTACGTAGCTGTAGCAGTATTGTAATGGGCCACCTCTAGTACATTAGTTGATATCTATTACATCAGCCATGTTTTTGTAGTGGGCTGAGATAAGCTTTGTACTGCTAGGAGTAGTTGATATACTATGTATCTTAGGAGTAGGTAGCTGTCGATGTTTCACCATCGATAGCCTGCCACGGGGGTACTTGGGGCAGTTTGTTCGGGCTTCAGCGTATGCAAAACTCGACGGTAAATGCAAGAGACAGTCGATTTATCCTGGTTCGGACTCTCGATCGTTGATCGAGTAATAGCCCTACGTCCAGTCGGCGTTAGCCTTTGCGTTGGATTGATTGTTAGCCGTTGTCTCTCCCGATTTAAGGAGCCCTACCCTCTTTTATATAGTCAGGAGGCCAGAGTTCTAGTCGGTTTACAATGTAGAGTCCTAGTAGGATTACAGGGTAATATTACTGTTAGTATTACATGGGAGGAATCCTAATCAAACTAGATCTCCTCTCTTCCTTGCGAGGTATCCCGTGGGTCCCGCATCGACAAGCCCCCGAGTACTTCATGGTTGAACTCTAGAAACATTATCAAGCATCGTCCGAGTGCTTTCTGGAGTGAAACCATGTAGCGCTTCTTGAGATCTTCGAGTGGTGTGTGCTTTTTTTGAAGAAAAAAGCACACCCAGTTGGGTGTAGCTCCCGAGCCTCTTGCTATTTGGAATAAGGAGCTGGAGGGTCTTAAATCTTATGTTGTTTGAAAACTCCTGTCTTGAAGAAGAGTAATGAAAGTACATATAAATATGCACGTGCATCCTCATATTCGTGCTCATCTTGCTGACGCAAAATCTTCTCGTTCGATCATGATCTGATCCGAGTAAGGCAACCTAGATAATCCGTCAAAAGGCTTCGGATGGGCAGTCCCCTCACCGGAGACCCCGTATCACCCCCACATTAGAATTTCCAAATCACCGCAACAAGGACGACCTTAGCTATCGAGTAGTTGATCGTGCTCAGACATGTGGTCGAGTAGTCGAACGTCCTAGCGACTTGTAGAGCAGCAACCGAGTAAGACAGCGCGGAGAGTGTGTCTCACCCAACGAAGTAGTGGCCAAGGCCGCGGTGGGCGAGCTCCTTACTTGATGACGTGGTCCAGAAAATGGTTCCAAGGCCATGTAATTTCCCTAGGTTGGTAGCCTGTTACGTTTAAACACCTCTCGCGCCTTCCGGCGAGTAGGCTTCATGGATTAAGGCCTCAACAGTCTAGGTAAATTAACAACCGTTAAGAGAAGACTTGAGTAGTCGGGGATGCAACTGTAGTAGAGCCGCGGAGGCATATGGATAATATCCGGAGATATATGATGATTAAAGAATATTTGAAAAAATATTAAACCATGACTTAGCTTGATTGACGGTCGCGTGGAGTAGTCGGCGTGCGATCTTGGTGTGTTGGGCTTGAGAGCCCCCAGGCGTCATCTTGACATTTGTGGCCGAGTAGTCAATCACCACGGATGAGTAGCCGAACACCCGCGGTCGAGTAGTCGGACGGCTTGCTCGTGGCTTGACGTAGCCGGACAGCTTGATGCAGACAGGTAGCAGTCGGACAGCTTACTTTTAGCTTGACGCTTTGATGCAGTTGGACGGGTGCATGGAGCCATGGTCGGACGAGCGCACGGATGGGTGTCTGGAGTCGTAGTCGGACGAGGGCGCCGAGTCACAGTTGGACGAGCATGCGGAGTCCTGGCCAGACGGAGTCAATCCGCGTGGGGAGCGAAGCTCTCGGGCGTGTCCGACCGAGACGAGGCGCAGTTCGAGACCTTCCTTGCTTCTAACGGACCGGTACATCAACATTCCACTCGAACTCGGATTCTTATGTAGGAGCCGCTTAACGCTGTCGTTGAGGTCTGTGTATGTGTATCTTTGAATTGATGTACGTAGTTCCCAATAGCAAGCTTTCTTGTGTCGTGGTGCTTTCTTTATTTGCTGATGGAAGCACATAACCGATTCGTGTGTTGTTTGGTTGACTCCTTGATGCAGTCCGGAATAAGTGAAACTTCTGATCTGGCTTGCATCTGTTGGCTTGGATATTCCGATCTCGACACGTGTGGTTGCGGGGGAGACACGGCAAGGTGAATTTGTCCTCCGTCTTCACGAGGGCGCTCCTGGTCTTGCTTTTGATGGAAGTACAGGGAGCCAGAGCTTTGATCCATCGTTGCCAGTCGCCAAGGGACGTCGCTTCCCATCATTTAGGCTGGCGGTAGATGCCATCACGAGGAACCTTAGCTACCACGGACGGCGCTGCCGTGAACACGGTGAATTGTCGACCAGGCGATGAGAGCCGCAGCGAGTTGTCGACGGGGCCGATGAAGCCACGGCAAATCTTGATCGTAAGGTCCATCGAGCTCTCGAACGCAATTGCGCCGAAAGCCCCTACCTGGCGCGCCAGCTGTCGATGTTTCACCATCGATAGCCTACCACGGGGGTACCCGGGGCAGTTTGTTCGGGCTTCAGCGTATGCAAAACTCGACGGTAAATGCAAGAGACAGTCGATTTATCCTGGTTCGGACCCTCGATCGTTGATCGAGTAATAGCCCTACGTCTAGTCGACGTTAGGCTTTGCATTGGATTGATTGTCAGCCATTGTCTCTCCCGATCTAAAGAGCCCTACCCTCCTTTATATAGTTAGGAGGCTAGAGTCCTAGTCGGTTTACAATGTAGAGTTCTAGTAGGATTACAGGGTAATATTACTACTAGGATTACATGGGAGGAATCCTAATCAAACTAGATCTCCTCTCTTCCTTGCGGGGTATCCCGTGGGTCCCGCATCGACAGTAGTTGGTGTACTCTCGTACTCAGAAGTAGGTAGTTGGCCAACAACTATATACCTAGTAAAGGTACAGTTAGAGTTGTATATATTTCATCCAAAGAGCAATGCAATACTTAGTTCAGTTGCTAAAAACCAAAGGGCAGGGCTTCGGCCAACGCTGGTGCTTGTGTTGAGTGTGTGTCTGCGCTGTTCTCAATCTCTTCTTCTACCTCTAGCCATAGTGAGTGAGTGTGTGTGCTGATAAGCTAGTTGCTTATCTGTGCTGGGCAGCTAGGGATCAACAAGTGGTATCAGAGCTGTACAAGCGCCGTCGCCGGACTAACCGCTGGCGATGATGGATGGTTTGGAGATAGGCGATAGCAGCGGCGCTGCTGTAGCTACCCAGCCATGATAGGAGGTTGTTGTGCGCACGGTGTGGGAGGTCAGCGGCACTAGTTGACCGACGCTGACTCACACCAACTATGGCGAATGGACGGTGACCATGAAGGTCAAGCTCAGAGTTTGACGGCTTTAGAATGTCATTGACAAGGGCACTGACAACGGAGAAGACGGCATGTCAGCGTTAGAAGTCATCTTCGCTGTTGTAACAGCGGAGTACAGGGAGCCGTTGGGGGCGAAGAGCTCTGCTAAGGAGGCATGGGAGGCCATTGCGGTGATACGTGTCGGTTCCGACCGCACAAAGAAGATGACGGCCCAGCTGCTGAAGCAGGAGTATGCCAACCTCAAGTTCAAGGATGGTGATGCGGTGGACGATTTCTTCCTCCGCCTACAAATGCTCATCAGCAAGCTGAGGAGCCACGATGTCACCATCGACAAAGAAGAGGCGGTCTCTAAATACCTCCACTTCGTGCCGGCGAAGTACATCCAGATTGCTCTCTCCATAGAGACGATGCTGGACTTGTCCAGCCTCACCATTGAGGATGTGATAGGCCGTCTACGTGCGGTGGATGAGCGCATGGAAGCAGGCCACAACAACAATGGACAGCAGCAAGCTACTACTGACAGAGGAGGAGTGGGCTACCCGGATGAAGGAGAAGAAGTCCGGGGAAGCCTCCTCCAGCCGCGCTGGTGATGGCAAGCGTCGTGGCAAGCCTTCTTCGGAGAAGAAGAAGAAGGTCGACCCCAACGCCTGCCGGCGCTATGGGAAGACGGGCCATTGGGCAAAGGAGTGCCCAAATCATAAGTAGGAGAAGAATGCTGAGGCTCATCTGGCGTAGGTTGATGATGATGATGAGGCCACTCTCCTGATGGCGACGTTTTGTGCACTGCACGACGTTGAGACCAAGGAGAAGGGAGAGGTGATGACTGTGGAAGGGCCTGGGAAGGCTCTGAAAGCTGTCAACCTTGACGAACCACGCGCCCAAGTCCACCTCGAAGGAGTGGGTGATGAGCAGGAGCAGCGATGGTACCTAGACTCTGGCGCCAGCAACCACATGACGGGTTCCAAGGCTGCCTTCTCTGAGCTCGATGACGACGTGACTGGCACGGTGAAGTTTGGTGACGGCTCAAGGGTGGCGATCCGAGGGCACGGCACCATCGATGAGCACCGCGCGCTAATGGATGTATATTACATCCCGTAGCTATGTTCCAGCATCATCAGCATTGGCCAGCTGGATGAGCATGGCAGCGAGGTACTAATCATGGACGTTGTCCTCAGGATCAGGGACCAGGAGCAGCGGCTTCTTGCGATGGTGAAGAGGTCCCAGAACCAGCTATACCTGCTCGACCCCAAGGTGGAGCAGTCTATCTGCTTGGCTGCATGACGCACAGAGGAGCCATGGCTGTGGCATGCCTGGTATAGACATCTTACCTTCGACGCACTTGGTCAGCTAGAGAAGATGGTGACTGGGCTGCTTCACATCGAGCACGCAGGTGAGCTTTGTGATAGCTGCCTAGCCAAGAAGCAAAGAAGGCTACCGTTCTAGAAGACGACGAAGTACCACGTGGCAGAGACCCTCGAGCTAGTCCATGGTGACCTCTGCGGGCCGATCACACCAGCGATGCCCAGTGGGCGCAAGTACTTCATCTTGCTGGTGGATGATTGTAGCTGATACATGTGGCTATAGCTTCTGACCAGCAAGACCGAGGCGGCGGAAGCACTCAAGAAGTTCAAGGCGCTCATGGAGGCAGAGAGTGGCAAGAAGCTGCGCGTGCTATGGACTGATCGCGGTGGCGAATTCGCTTCGGTGGAATTCGCTGCGTACTGTGCGGATCAGGGCATGGTGCGACATCACACCGCGCCGTACTCACCACAACAGAATGGCATGGTGGAGCGGCGGAACCAGATGGTGGTCGGTATGGCCCGATCCATGATGAAGGCTAAGAAGATGCCGACGGAGTTCTGGGGAGAGGCGGTGACCACGGTGGTGTTTATCCTCAACCGCGCGCCCACCAAGGCCCTAAAGGGCATGACGCCGTTCGAGGCTTGGCATGGACGCAAGCCGAATGTGTCTTTCCTCAGGACATTTGGCTACGTCGGCTATGTGAAGAACACCAAGCCTCACCTCGGCAAGCTAGAAGATAGGAGCACGCCGATGGTGCTCCTGGGCTACGAGGAGGGCAGCAAGGCCTATCGGCTTTATGATCCCAAGAGAGGCAAGGTGGTGATCTCTAGGGATGTGGTGTTCGATGAGATGGCGGCCTAGGACTAGGACAGTCCGGGCATGGGGGAAGCTGGCAGCTTCACCACCACCTTCGTCGTCAAGCGCATGGTCATCCACGATGGTGGAGACACTGGAGAGGAGGTGCCGACCACTCTAGCAATAGAGCCATGCACTCTAGGAGGGGTGCTGAGCACTGCAGAGGGGGTGCCAAGCACTTCAGCAGCAGTGCCGAGCACTCCAGCAGTGAATCCGACCACTCCATCAATGGTGCCGAGAGGTCCAACAGCGATGCCGACCACTCCGACAGAACAGGGAAGCCGAGAACCACCGATCGAGTTCACCTCCCCTCTAAGCGACATCAACGAGTTCGTGGATGCCTTCCACAACAGCAAGGAGGTCCAGTTCCGTAGGTTGGACAACATCGTCGGACAATGCAGGGGCTACATGCCTGGCGAGTCGGCTGCTCTATGATCTAGAGGTGCTCCTTTGTTAGTGCCGAGGAGCCACCGACGTTCGCAATGGCTGAACGCGATGCCAATTGGCAACGAACGATGTTGGAAGAGATGAAGGCCATCGAGGACAATGGCACATGGGAGCTGGTAGATCCACTGGTGGGCTGTAGGCCAATCGGCTTGAAGTGGGTCTACAAGGTGGAGCGGGACGAGCGCGGCGCCGTTGTTAAGTACAAGGCTTGGCTCGTCGCCCGTGGCTTCGTGCAGCGTGAGGGCATCGACTTCGAGGAAGTCTTTATTCCGGTGGCGCGAATGGAGTCCGTTCGCTTGCTGTTGGCCATGGCAGCAGCGAAGGATTGGTGCGTCCACAACCTCGACGTCATTTCTGCGTTCCTCCACGGCGAGTTCGCAGAGATGGTCTTCGTCAAGCAACCTCCGGGCTTCACCATCAAGGGCGCTGAGCACATGGTGCTCAAGCTGCGTAAGGCGCTCTACGGGCTACGGCAGGCTCCTCGAACGTGGAACGCCAAGCTCGACGCCACCTTGGGCGAGCTTGGGTTCACTCGCTGTGCTACAGAGCACGCGCTCTACACGCGGCGATGGGGGAAAGAGGAGCTCATCGTCGGCGTGTACGTGGATGACTTAATCATCACTAGAGCACGAGCAGAGGACATCAATGATTTAAAGCGCGAGATGGCGGCTCATTTTAAGATGAGCGATCTCGGCGCGCTCTCCTGCTACCTCAACATCGAGGTGAGGCAGGAGAAGCAGAGCATCTCCCTAGACTAGCGCGCCTACGCAGAGAAGCTGCTAGAGCACGGTGGCATGGCAGAGTGCAAGTCGTGCCCGACTCCGATGGAGGAGGGCTGAAGCTGAGCAAGCACAACACTGCTATGAAGGTGGACGCGACGCGTACCGGATTATTGTCGGCGGGCTACGCTACCTCACTCATACCCGACCGGACATTGCGTTCACGGTTGGGTACGTCAGCCGTTTCATGGAGGACCCGCGCGAAGATCACTGGTCGATAGTGAAAAGGTTGCTGCGCTATGTCAAGGGGATGCTCGATCAAGCGATCATCTTTCCCAAGAGTGGCGGCAAGGGAGGGTTGCAATTCACAGTGTTCAGTGAGGCGCCCCCAAGGCAAAGGAAGGTGAGCCAGAGCTCACTATTTTCAGCGGTGCTGACATGGCGGGCAATATTGATGGGCGACAAAGCACCTCCGGCGTGCTCGTCTTCTTTGGAGTGGCCCCCATTGCTTGGCAGTCGCTGAAGCAAAAGATTATGGCACTGTCGACGTGTGAGGCGGAGTACGTCGCAGCGGCCACGGTGGCGTCCTAAGCTGTCTGGCTGCGCCGGCTGCTAGGCGAGCTAACCAGCAAGGAAGCTCACCCGTCAGCTCTGATGGTGGACAACCAGCCCACCATCGCCAAGAACTCTGTCCTCCATTACCGGAGCAAGCACATCGACATTAAGTTCCACTTCCTCCAGGACTGCATCGATGGAGGGCAGATCATCATCGAGTTTGTCGATACCGGCAGACAGCTCGCTGACATCCTCACCAAGTCACTTGGACGCCTACGGTTCATGGAGTTGAGGAAGATGATTGGCATGGATGAGATCAAGGTATCGGGCTAGCAGGAGGATTAGGGGAAGAATTGTTAGACATAATCTGCTGCTCCCTATTTCTTCTTGGTTGGAGACTGGTCGGCTCAGCCGACCACTCCCTGTTGAGAGTTGGGGACTGATCGGCTCTGCCGACCTATTTCTTGTAGCTATAGTAGTATTGCAATATGCCACCTCTAGTACATTAGTTGGTAGCTATGACATCAGCCATGTTTTGGTAGTGGGCTGAGGTAAGCTTTGTACTGCTAGAAGTAGTTGGTATACCCTGTATCTTAGGAGTAGGTAGTTAGTGTACTCTTGTACTCAGAAGTAGGTAGTTGGCCAACAACTATGTACCTGGTAGAGGTACAACTAGAGATATATATATTCCATCCAAAGGGCAATGAAATACCTAGTTCAGTTGCCACAAACAAAGGGTAGGGCTTCGACCAACGCTGGTGCTTGTGCTGAGTGTGTGTGTGCGTGTGCGTTGTTCTCAATCTCTTCTTCTACCTCTAGCTATAGTGAGTGAACGTGTGTGCTGGGAAGCTAGTTACTTACCTATGCAGGGCAGACAAGGATCAACAGTGACCAGGCAGACGAGGAGCCCCATGGAGCTAATGAGCAGCGGGTAGGTCACCGCCTCGAAGTCGTGGTTGGCGCCGAACAAGGAGATGGACGCGATGAACAGCACCATGCAGGTGGACTCGGTGTAGGAGCCAAATACGTCGGACCCCATCCCGGCTATGTTGCCGACGTTGTCGCCCACGTTGTCCGCGATCACCACAGGGTTCCTCGGGTCGTCCTCGGGGATGTTGCGCTCCACCTTCCCGACGAGGTCCGCGCCCATGTCGGTCGCCTTGGTGTAGATGCCGCCGCCGCCGCGCCCGAACAGCGCCATTGACGAGCCACCGAGGCCGTAGCCTGTGATCGACTCATATAGGCTCTCCCAGTCGTCGCCGTAGTAGAATCCGAACACCTTTACGGTGACGTAGAGCACGAGCTGCCCGAGGGAGGCCAGGAGGAAGCCCATGACGACACCAGACCGGAACGCTGTGGAGAAGGCCAAGCCGACACCACGCCGAGCTTCCAGGGTGGTCCTGGCGTTCGCGTACGTGGGAATCCGCATGCCGAGGTACCCGAACACCACAGAGGTGGCAGCGCCGAGGAGGAAGGCCACGGAGCTGAACACCGTGTTTGCCAGCGCTGGCTTGCAGGTGCGACCGCTGGTGTACTGGCACGGCTGGCTCTCAGTGCTGAACCGGTGAACGGAGCCCAGGAAGAGGAAGATCACCATGGCGAAGATCGCCGTGAACGCGGCGAGGTACTTGTATTTGCGTGAAAAGGAATGAGTTGGCACCTGCATACAAAATGATTTATTATAGGAGAAAAAAAGAATTTTCAGACATGAACTGCCCAATGGCACGCACATTTCATACTCTGGAATGCACATAAATTTCAAATCAAACAGTTAATCTCCTACAACTAAAAAGAACAAAAGTAAGACTATTTTTTTATGCGAGTTTTTTTGGGGTCGCTCCTTCCTTCCGGCCGTGTGATATCCCGCGCAATAGGAAAACAAACTACCATCCCTGCCGCCTGCTTTAAAGGAAACAAATAGATCACCTGAGGACACATGCATGGAAGGAAAACAATAATCATGCATGCAGGTTATACATGGTGAGACTGGTGAACCTTCTGCAATTTCCTAAATGAATATTCCCACCATTAGTATATATGGTCCATTCCCCTGCGTTTCTTCGTGCTCCCATTAGCATATAATATGAAAGTATTGTTGTGTTTATCATGACTTCCAGTTGACTACTCCCATTAGTATATACTTCCTCTACCCCAAAATATAAGTCGTTATGGGATGCGTACAGGTCAAACTTTCTCAACTTTGACTAGGTTTGTAAAAAATACGTGCAACATTTATACCTCCAAATAAGTTTATTATGAAAATATATTCAATGGTCTATGTAATGATACTAATTATGCATTATAAATATTAATATTCTTTTATATATAATTGGCCGAAGTTCAAAAAAAGTTAACTTCTCGGGAAGCGAGAATGAATTCTATTTTGGGATAGAGGGAGTATATGAAAGCAGTGTTAAAAATATTTTAACAATCAAGTTCGTCTTTGTTTGATTGGTAAGCTTAGACATCATAATGGCATCAAAAATTTCGACTTTCATGGACACCCTCATGGATCAGTGCAAAGCATCCCAATCCTACAGCATACACAAATGATAACCTTAAAGTTATGATATTTTCAAATGGTGGACAATAAAGACCATCTTAGACGTTCTGGCATTAGAGTATATACGTGCAGACATATAGGCATGGTTGTGCAAGTGAGCAGCCAGCAGGAGTCAAGAGTTACGGGGTGTTTGGATCCCAGGACTAAACTTTAGTCTCTAACACATTTAATTTTTAGATATCAATTAGAAGGACTAAACATGAGCTAATTATAAAACTAATTACATAAGTTGTGGCTAATTCACTTGCTAGCGCCATGTACAGGATGGTATGGAGACGTGGTGGAACTTATTCGTAGATTTGTTGGCGCACGAAAGAAATAGATATCGAAAATCTCTATCTGCCGGTATAAAAAATGATCTTAGCCGTATCACAGAAAGATCTACACAGTAGAGTTTGTGAGCCTATGATGCCACGCCTCTGTGACTGTGTAAATTTCACGAACTTAGATTTTTGCATTAAATGTCATTTTAACGTCGGTCATATACTTTTACAGTATTGTTATCTTATCATGCGATTCGTGTGCTTTTAGTACAAAAGTTTAGCTGTCCCGTAGCAACACACGGGCACGAACCTATTTACATATATACTCGAACCTGTGTGTACATGATTATATGGAGATGCAGCGGAACTTATTTATGGATTTATTGGTGCATGAAAGAAATGGATATCGTAGAATTCTTTCTGCCGATATAAAATATTATCTTAGCCGTATCACAAAAAAGCCTATACAGTAGAGTTTGTGAGCCTGCGACATCGCACTCTCCGTGATTGTGTTAATTTCATGAACTTTGCTTTTTTAATTAAATGTCACATTTGACGTCGGTATTTAATTTAACAGTATTGTTATCTTATCGTGCGATCCGTGTGTTTTTAGTATAAAAGATTTCGTTGTCCTGGAGCAACGTACGGGCATGCTACCTAGTTTCCAATAAGAGCAGAAATTTATTTTCTACTTCTGAGCGAAAACGTTTGTAAAAGTACACCTATATTATAACCTAGAATTTCTCAATCTACTGTAGAAGTCCTTCAATATAACCTGGAATTCAATTATCTCAATCTCTTATAAGAGAATTTAAGAAAAAAAGGTAAGGGGAGAGAGTGGAGATGCTCTAAATTCAAGAAAAAAAAGGCAAAGGTAACACTTTTAAACTAATTTTAAATCTAATATTGTTTTATTTTATTTTTCTAAAACTAACACTTTTGCCCGTGCCTATTTCCCTGGCGCGGCGAAACGCCTGTGCCGCGCCATGCATGGTGGTGCAACGAGGGGGATGACGTGGCGACGATCGGGGCGCTGACCGGTGATGTGGCAGGGTTTGTCGCACCACCGATCTTGGCGCGGCAATGCTGCGCCATCCCTCACGGCGCGGCAGTCCCAGGTAAATATCGCCTGCGAGCCGCCGCCCTCCCTCTATTTGCCTGCCCGCCGCGCCTGCCTGCCCGCCGCGCCTGTCGCCGGCAGCGCCTGCCCGCCGTGCCTACCACCGGCCGACGCGCTACACGCCGCCCGCCGCGCCACGCACACCGGTGCGCCACGGCCGCTGGCCACCCGCTGCGCCCACCACGTCCGCACGCCACCACGACGATGCCCACACGACTACGACGACGACGCACGCCAGCAATGAGTAAGATTGATTAAAGTTCTAATTAAGTGCTAATTTCGGTTTAGGCGTTCCTGTAATTAGTTTAATTAAGATATTGTCTAAGTATAAGTTCTAACAATTAGTATCCGAGAAGCCATTTAGCCCACTTCTTGAACCCAAAGACCTAATTAGTGTTTGATTAAGATCTAAATAGCCTCGGATTTGTCCGATTCAAAATTCTTTAAGCCAAATCAGAATATAGGGTTTCGCTTAAGCACCGAGAAGGGGGGGAGTCGAATCAACTTCAATACTAAGCCCTAGTTTTTGCCCAAATCCAAACTCTAGGAATGCAAATTACCCAAATCCGGTAACAATCCCCAACCCTAAGATCAGTAAGACGCTTTTCACTTATCTTAAGAATTAAGATGGCGCCGTCGGGCTCCTTCACGAGTTCGCCGGCGGCCACAAAAGGGATTGACGAGGACGATGAGGAAGATGTGATCGAAGATATGTACAACGTTGCCACTAGAGATGACACACAACTACAGAGAGCCCCGCTTCAAAGATACCTAGTAAGATACTCAAATGGTATAATTTGTTATCCATTTGGTATTAAGTATGTGTACTAAAACTGTCCAACTGCGTTTCTGTACCCAGGCGACATAGTTGTCAAGATTATCCAACGAAGCAGCGTTTCGGCTTCACAAGTCTAGAGGGTAGGGGCCAGGCGTTTTCGAGGCTTTTGTGGAGGTAAACATAAACTTGTCCGTTCCAAAAATGTTTCTTTAGTGCATATGCATTTGGGAAATGCACTAACTTTAACGTCTATTCATGCAGAAGGTGAAGCGGAGCTGCAAGAAGCTAGCTCAGAAGTTGAGCTGCATGGACACTCCTTGGGTGGAACCCGATTACCCAACGTGGTCGGGTGCCATGTCTTCTGGCTCTTTGAGGACACCAGCCGGCTCTTCTCAGCCGGTGATAGGTGCCGCTTCTGCTGTGCGTACACCATCACATTATAGCGCTGGGAAGGACCCTGTAAACGAGGATGACGATGACGACGACGACCCCCCGGGCTTCCGCATACAGCACCACCAGTGGGACCCTTGGCAGCAGGACGAGATCAGCATGTCTCAGCTAGGTGGTGCCCTGCTTGGTACCCAAGGAGCCTCATAGGTAGTAACAAAGGTAGTTTCATTAAATACGTAGGCTCCATGAATTAACGATCATAAAGATTATAAGTAATCGTGCATATCATATACTTACGGGGTACGAGTCGTATGCATCGGCAACACGACCACACTGACGTTGGTTACACTCCCAATGTGTTGCCTATAAATCCGAAGAGACAAAGGCGTCCGAGGAATCCTTACACTCCTGGGACTTAGTTGGTTATGTTGAACTTATGTCGAACGAATATTGTCGTCTGAAACTTGCAGACTTAGTTGGTTATGTCGAATTTATGTCGAACTAATAAAAATGTTATGTGGTAACTTGTCAACTTGCGCACGGACTCTATTTATTTGCTTCATATTCGTTTTAATGCATCGCGGCAGCACTTGTAGTTGTTTACAGCACCGACAACTGCTCCCGTTCAATTACAATTGAGGCTGGTCAGCTTCTGTCTGTGTCCAGGTCTTGCCACGCCGTGGGCCTTGGCGCGTCAGTGCCGCACCATGGGCTATGGCGTGGCAGAACCTGCCACGTCACCGGTCGGCACCCCGGTCGTCACCACGTCATCCCCTTGCCGCGCCACCATGCATCGCGCGGCACAGGCGTTTCGCCGCGCCAGGAAAATAGGCGCGGGCAAAAGTGTTAGTTTTGAAAGAAAAAAAACAGTGTTAGGTTTAAAATTAGTTTACAAAAAGTGTTAAAAATATAAAAAAATTCACGACTGGAGATGTTCTAATGTATTAGTGTTAGTGTACCATTAAAAATTCACCTACTGAGATTTTTTTTCTTTTTAATGATCAACACTGCTATACGTAACCGTGTGTTTGGATACCGGGTTCACCAGGGTTAGGGAGGGTTGGAGTGGGTTGAACCCAGTTCTCCTACCATTTGGTTTGGAATTCATTTAACGTGGGTTGAACCCACCAAAGAATATCTCTGCTAGATTCGGGTTCAACCGATTCCTCCAAATTAGCTGGACCGCGCAAACCTAGATGAGCACGTGCGTGCGGAGGGAGGAGTAGCGCGGGCGAGCAACGTAGGTGGGAGCGCCCGAGCGAGCGGCGCAGCCAGGGAAGCCGCAGGAGGGCGGTGGCGCAGTTGGGGAAGTCGCATGCGAGTGGGCCACAACGGGGCAGGGAAGCCGCAGCAAGGGCAAGCGGCGGCTCGGCCAGACAGACCAGCGGGCGGGCAGTGACGCGGCCGCGAAAGCTGCAGGCGAGCAGGCTATGGCCTTGCGAAGAGCCGCCTGTGCCGAGGAATGAGGAAGAAGGGGAAAGACGTTGCCAAATGAGCCCCATGTGTCAATGACTCAACCCACTTACATATATTTTTCCAACCAAACACAAAACTGGAATGGATCCAACCTTGTCAACCAAACAAGGAATGGGTTCTAACCCAAGCTATAAAATTGGGACAGGTTCAACCCATTGCACGTCGTTCCGAAACCAAACCCACGCTAAAAGTCTCATTTATGCTATGCTATGTACTTTTTAGGAGAATGCCTTACTACCCTACTCGTATTTAAGGAGGTGCTATACATCAATTGCTTTGCAGGGTGGGCATTGCGTAGGCTGCACTTCTTGCGATTGCAGTGGTGGGTTCGACCCAGGTTGAATGAATTTTCTGACTTTTGGCAATGACAGGGTCAGAACTCAAAAAGGTACTAAGCCACTAAGGTAGCAGATCATGCAGGGCATTGATTTAGGTCAAATAGAAGAAACGGCATCATACTTGCTTGTTAAGAAAACAGAGAGAAAGATCTCGCCTAGGAAACGGTGAAGAAACGTGCACAGGCACAAGATTAGCTGAGTAGGAACACCGAACACGGCCATGTGCCAATATACTGGGTCAACCCTTTGACCAGCCAGAGTACCTTTTCTTAAGTTAGGAGCAAGTTTGAAATAGAAGTTAGAAGCAAGTTAATTCGAATACAGGTTGCATTGCAATGTCCTAGGCTACATCAGGGTTGACTTACAGTATGGAAATGATACTTTAATTATCTTGGGAACGGAGAAAATTAGATAACAATATTTGGTGATAAAATCACTGCAAAAAATAATTTTGGACGACACCGTGCTCGTGGTGAAATCATTGCAATCAGGGGATAGGGACCCCTTTTTAGTGTAAAAAAATGAAGTGTCTTCCTAGATGCGTGATTATTAAAGAAATTTAACTAAACCATTACCCAGATGTGAAATGGATATGTTATTAGACAAGTTGGAAAAAAATATGCTTCGAGCGAGTTCATTGTATCTTGAACAACAATCTAGGCGACTAGGCTAGAAGTGTTTTCAAGATTTTTAGTTCTGCATCACATGTCTGTATGACGGAAAATAAAGCAAGGGAAATCATCATGAAGTAAGGAACAATGGAATCATCAAAAATGGTGATCGATCGGTGACGAGTTACCACAGGTGAAATAAAAGAGTTGATCAACCAAGAGTAGCAAAAAGTTAAAAAAAGGGCGTGGGAGATTGAACTCACCAACCGAAATGGCGCTCTGGATCTCCGCGCACCGCGCCACGGCGACAGTGCCGTTGCCGGCGCCCTCCTCCTCCTCTTCGTCGCGGTCGCCGCCACCGCCCATGCCGACGTCCTCCTCGTCGTCCTCCATCCGGAAGACGCCCCCCCGTTGTGGCCGTTGCCGGGCGCCGCGTAGGCGGACACCTTCACCCTGGAGACGAGGAACAATTGCCACAGCGCGAAGGCGACGCCGACCGCCGCGCACGCCGGGATGACCACGTCCTCCGCCGCCGCAGAGCCCATAGTCATCTAGTCCCCTCAACTAACCACGCAGGCCATGAACGAACTAGAAATGCAGGGACGTACAAGAGGCGATGGAAGAATGAGCGCACGTCGTCGTGGCGCCGGTGCCGCCCGCGCGGTGGTCGTTGCTCGGCAAGTTGAGGGTTTTCTCTCTCTTTGTGCGTGAGAGAGAGAGAGAGAGAAAGCTCGGAACTTCATGGGGACGTGATGGAAAGGATAAGACCAGTTGCTTCAACCAGACCGTGGAAGACGAAACTGAACGTTAGCCGCCAGACAGCCAGAGTTCTCCGGTGCGTACCGCGTACGTGCATGAGTATATGGCTCCTGGACCAGATTGAATTGGATCCGGTCCGTGGCTTTCGATATATGCATGCGTGCACAGGTGAATGCTTCAGCGTTGACGAGACAATTTGAGTGCACATGGCGAATTAGCTTCGCAAGGAGGTAATGGGCCGGGTAGGTTGCTGGCTTCGGTGCTAAGTAGTGAACAGCTTTTTCTTTGCAGTTCAGTTTCTTCAGTTATCTATTTATTATGTATTTTTATTTTGTTTTGTTTTGTGCAAGGTGTCTGCAGAGATCTGAGTTGTCATGACCAGGCATGCGCTGCGGAGGCGTTAGCTGAAGCAGGCTTGGAAGGCGCGTTGTCTGACCACGGTTGTTGGCAGCCCAACGCAAAAGTCAAGTCACAAGAAAGGAAAAAGTCCACCTTTCCTTTCTTAATTTTCACGAAAGTCTGTTTTTTCTTCTTAGAACTTCAAAATCGAGTAAAACACCTCCCTCAACTTTTAAAACAATTCATCTTACCTCCATAGCCCTGTTATAAGCAGTTTTGAAGACGGTTGCCCTGTTATAAGCAGTTTTGAAGGCGGTTTTGTCTTTTTCTTTTTTATTTATTTCGGCTGGATCTTTAAAAAATCATAGTAAATCACAGAAAAATCATAAAATGGAAAATTCATTTTTGTTGGACTCCACATGAGTAGATCTACACAGTGAACATATAATATGGTATGCTTTATTGCAAAGTTTTTGCTGTGGCTTTAGATCTATGCTTTTCTGTAATTAATTGGAATAATTCATGACTGAAGTTTCTTTGGTCCAATTGTGATGAAATTTTTATGGTAGGCTAATTATTGTATGATTGAACAGTAGTAAAAAATTCATATTCATTGGATCATGTATAGCTTAGTTATAGATTTATTTATATTTAACAAGCATAAACCTAAATAAAATCTATAACTAAATTATACATGATCCAATATGTATAAATTTTTTATTACCGTTTAAGCATATAATAATTAGCACACCATAAAAATTTCACCACAATTGAATCATAGAAACTGCAGCTATGAATTATTCCATTTAGTTACAGAAAAGCATAGATCTAAAGCTACAGTAAAAACTTTATACTAAAACATACCATATTATGTTCATTGTGTAGATCTACTCATGTGGAGTCCAATAAAATTGGACTTTCTATTTTATGATTTTTCTGTGATTTACTATGATTTTTCAAAGATTCAGCCGAAACAAATAAAAAAGAAAAAGACAAAACCGTCTTCAAAACTGCTTATAACCGGGACAGGGAGGTAAGATGAATGGTTTTAAAGGTTGATGAAGGTGTTTTGTCCGGTTTTGAAGTTTATGAAGGAAAAACGGATTTTCACGAAAATTAAGGGAGATAATATGGACTTTTCCCAACAAGAAAATTGAAGCCTACAAGCAGCAAGCCCACTAACGCGAGTGTCAGGACCAGGACCCAGAACGTGGACTCAAGGTGGCTAGCAGGCTGCTAAATTTGTGCAAGACATTAACGCAACAGCCCAGTAGTCCAGACGCACTTGAGTGCACTTTTGGCACCCAGGGCCAACAAGTTTGGCACGTTTCGAGCCTCCTTGCGGCTCCTTCCTTATATCCCTACCAAATGGTGCTCAAAATGTTATGACCAATGAGCCTGAAGGATCTAGAGCCACATAAATATAGCTTCTCCTAACTTCACACAAATTCGGTACAAATTATAGCAAAACTACTGCTGGATCCGTTTTTCAGAATAGCTTCAGCTTCATTGTACAAGGTGCTTCATAAAAAGAATCAAAACCTTTTTCCGAAAAATCCGAAATCCTGTCAAACTAGCGCTAACTAGAGTTTACATCAACATCCGATGAGTCGTGAATGGCGACTAGGGCACGCTACATTGATTTCAAGATGGTGAAAGGTGGAAAGGGGCGTATATCATGATGGTTTTCAGCTAGAGTATCAGCTAGAGATGCTGTAGCCACTACAACTTCTCATGTTTTGAGCTGATGTAAGTATTAAATGTTTCTTTGACTAGTAATTGTTTGACGTATATATTAAGAATATAGATTTCGTCTATTTTTATAATCTCATCAATTGGCTAGACTCCTAGGCCTTGTTTGGAATGAAGTATTTTCATACGAAAAGTAGAGGAAACAAAAACGAAGGAAAGTGTTTTGACCATAGCGTTCGGATCAAAGGATTCTCTGGTTCCTTTTCTATGGAACACTGTTGCAGGCTTCCCATTTCATAGGAAAACAAAAATCCAATCTGAGCTCAGGTTTTCTCTTCCTTCACTGTAACATTCTAAAATTTGCCTTTTCTAAAATAAAGTTAAATTAATTTAAATACTTGTTTTTGTGCTCATGAAAACATAGGAAAATAAAAAATTTCATTAATTTAAAATTCATCATAAGAGGTAGCAACATGTTTGAGCATACATGCTTCTGCATTTGGATTGTTGTACTGGGTGGTTGAATCCAAAATTTAAAATGAATTCAAATTCTTTGGAAATAAATTTGAAAGTGGCTTTGAAGTAAAAGAAAAGAAAAGAAATTGGGAAATAAAAGAATTTAAAAAGTTGTAATTTTTTTTTGGAAAACTTACCAAAATTTCTCATTTTTATTTTGATTGAAAAGTGTATTTGAAACCATATTCAAATTCAATTTGTATTTAAATTGGGTTTTGAAATATGAAAAGAAAATAGAAAAGGGAAAACGAAAAACTCTCTCCTCTCTCTCGGTCCGGCCCACCCCGGCCTCTCTCTTCCCACTCTCGCGCGGCCTGCTGCCCTCCCCATAGCCCGTTCCCACGCGCAGGCCCAAGCAAGTAGCCCAGCTGGCTGGCCCAGCACTGCTCCCTCTCCTCTGCGTCACCGCGCACACTAGCCCAGCACGACTTCCGCCCCAGTCGCACCCGCGCTTCTCCTCTCTCCGCGCTCTATCTCGCTGACAGCCCGGCCCCGCTCTCTCACTCGCTGCCACCCTAGGCCCGCTTGTCGGCGCCGTCTCCTACCTCCCATGCTCGGAGCTAACTCTGCCTGATGTAGTCCCGCCGCTGCACGCGCGCCCCGGTCTTGGCGTGCGCGCCACGCCTAAGCCCGATAAAACTGAAACCCAGGTGCGCCGCTCCCCTCTGCCAACCCTAGCGCAGCCGCCATAGCCTTTGCTTTGTGTCGCCACCTGATTTGGATCTCGCCAAGGTGCCGAGCTAGCCGCCGAAGCCGCCGCGGCCGCCTATTGCTTCTCTGTCGTCCCTGAGCATCTACCGAGCTTCGCGTCGTGGTAAGGAAGCCGTAGGTACCGGCTTTGCTCTCCTTCTTGCTCCCTATCCCTTTATTCACGCTCACCGAAGCTGTGCCGAACTTCCCAAGCCGCTCGAGCAAGTCTCGAGCCACCCTGGTGCCCTCGCGTCCTTCCCCGACCCCTAGCTGAGTTCACCATGCTTTCATATACCTCCCCATGCTCTTCTCGTGTCCGATGAAGGCCAGAGTCGCTGATTCGACGAACTCCGGGGAGGTCCAACCCCGCCGGCCATGGCGTCGCCGTGTTGGCCTCTGTTCCAGCTGTTCCAGCTGGCCACGTGCTCTCTCTCCCCCTTGCTTCTGTTTTCGGCCGTCTAAAGTAGATCCAATGGTCAGGATTAACCAGTACCCCTTCGGTGGTAATTTTGTTAAAGAGCCCCTGTCTTTCTTCAAAATAGTGGCTGCAATCCTCGGCCAGATTTAAAAATCAGTTGTTATTCGAAAATCAAGTTCCACTTATTTACAGTGTTGCCACTACCTTCTTTAGGTCATATCTTCTACATTTTAGCTCCGATTTGACCCATTCAAGTTGCGTTAGATTCGTAACGACACAATCTACGCATTAGTATCAATGTTTTCCATGTCAAGAGCTCTGGGATTTCATGGTTTAAACTCTAACTTGAATAATAATTATGCAACTGGATTTTATAAATAAAATATGATTTGTTTTACTTTAGTTTTATAATTCAAATCTAAATTTGACTTAATTCAAGTTATATTATTTATAAAATATCTTATATATATGAATTTATATAGTTAAAATAAATGAAGCCTATAGTTTTTTAAAGCAAATCTATCGGTAGCTGTATCTTTTTCACCGTAGCCTTGATTAGCGTGCTCTTCGCGTCTGTGTGATCGTAGCAACGCGCAGATTTGATTTCAAATTCTTTTTCATTGATTGGTGTACTATTCTAATATAGCTATGTTTTGTATGATATGCATGTCTGTTTGGATGCTTGTGTGGTGCTATATGATCTTGTCTAGTCGGTGAGTTATACGTGGTGAATCAAGAAGCAGATCTTTGAAGTTTTGGACTTAAAGAAGGATCTAATTTTAAGGCAAGTATAGCATGGGACCATCCTTAATACTTATTCACCTTTAATCATTTAATTCATGTTGCATGTGTCTACCTTGACAACTGTAGTAATTTTCCTAACTAATTGATATCTTGGATTCCTTGATACCTTTGGGTTATTGCATTGGGTAGTTTTGCTAGTGCTCAACCAAAACCATGATCTTGTAACATAACTAAT